CAGAGTCTGATCCTGACTTTATTGAAAATGTTGATATTTCGCCCGTCGTGGACTTTTGGGCATGAATTTCTATTTTTCTTTTTTTCTTTATTAATTTTATTTTATTCTGTTAGTCACCGTACATTACATCATTAGTTTTTGATGCAGTGTTCCATGATTTATTGTTTGCGTAAAACACCCAGTGCTCCATGCAGTACGCGCCCTCCTTAATACCCATCACCGGGCTAGCCCATCCCCCACCCCCCCAAACCCTCAGTTTGTTTCTCAGAGTCCGTAGTCTCTCATGGTTCGTCTCCCCCTCCGGCTTCCCCCCCTTCATTTTTCCCTTCCTGCTATCTTCTTCTTCTTCTTTTAAACATATAATGTATTATTTGTTTCAGAGGTACAGGTCTGTGATTCATCGGTCTTATGCAGTTCACAGCGCTATGAATTTCTATTTTTCCAACGATTGCCTCAAAATATTATTTATCTTGGTTGATTGCGTGTTTTGGCCCTCTACCCACCCCGAGTCCCAGCTCTGCTTTCCAAAAGGAGAAACCAGAGCAGAGGCATTAGGCAAGTGCACAACAAAGCACAGGTTTATTTTTGGGTACCCAGATTATCCGTCGTTCAGTCATTAAAGTACACGTCCTTCTAATTTCTCCTTGAGCTAGTGTCCCTGCCTTTTCCTGGTCAGGTCCATTAGCTTCTAGAGAGCTGGGGCATGCTTTGTTCCCAGTCTGCACCCAGCATAGCGGGTTCAGAGTTGGTACCCAGCACACACCCGTCGATGACAGAGGACAGAGATGTCTTTGGGAGCATCGGATGCTGTCCAGGATCCGTTATGCAGGACCCAGCCTCGAATAGGAGACGGAAATTCTTTTCCCCCCAAAGCATCTGTAAACATATCCTCCCCCCTTGTCACTCCATAAATGGGTGGCACGCGCACACACACACGCACACATACACACACACCCCGCTTGCTCTTGTCTTGCTAAAGATTAAAGTAACAAGTTTATTGCATTTGGTTTGTATTGGGTCAATTCTTTGACACGTGTTTCGCACGGGTGCTAAGGGTTTCTCGTGCCCTGGAGAATCTGGTGTGCTGTTCCCGGACAGGATTGGAAGAAAAGGCACTCAGCCTCCTCAGGGACCGAGAGGAGTGGGCAGAGGGGTAGGGGACAGAGGTCAGAGGTCAAAAGGGCGGGAGGCAAGTGTCTCCCCCCATCTCAACCACCCGCCTGTTGCTTTGAAGATCTGGCCTAGTGGGTCTCAATCCTGGCATGACAATCACCTGAGGAACTTTCTAGAAACACTGACGGCTAGGCCTGAGCCAGAGATTCTGATGCAATTGGTCCGAATGAGCCTGGGCGTAGGTATCGTTAGAAATTCTTGAGTAATTTTTTTTCCTTCTTACTGTGGTAATATACAGATAACATAAAATTCCCCATTTTAACCACTTTTAAGTCTACAGTTCAGCGGCTTCAAGTGCATTCACACTGTTGCCCAACCATCTCCAGAACTTTTTTACCTTTCCAAACCAAAACTTTGTCCGCATTAAACACCAACCCTCCATGGCTCTACCCCAGCCCCTGGCCACCACCATTGTACTTCCTTTCTCTGCATGTGACGACTCTAGATACATTACATAAGTGGAATCACACAGTATTTGTCTTTTTGTGACTGGCTTATCTCCCTCTCAAGTTTCAACTGCTTTCAAGTTTCATCCATGTTGTAGCACGTACTAGAATTTCCTTCCATTTTGTGGCAGAATAATATTCCATTGTATGGAGAAATTTTCCAGCCCATTCATCAGTTGACGGACACTTGGGTTGCTTCCCCATTTTAGCTACTGTGAATAATGTCCTTGCCAACACTTACTTTCTACTTTTTTTTGATAATCACCATCCTAAGGGGTATGACGTGAGAGCTAGGGTAGTTTTAATTTGCGTTTCTTTGGTAACTAAAGATACTGAGCACCTTTTCATGTGATAATATGGACCACTGGCCTATTTTCTCTGGAGAAATGTCTCTTCAAACCCTTTGCCCGGTTTTTAAAAATCAGGACGTGTTGGGTTTTTTTGTTGTTGAATTGTTGAATTTCTTTGCTTATTCTGGATTTTAATCCCTTATCGGTTATATAATTTGCAAATATTTCCTTCCATAGTGTAAGTTGTCTCTTCATGCTCTTGATGGTGTCCCTTGATAGACAAAAGCTTTCAGTCATGATGAGGTCCAGTTTATCTGTTTATTTTCTTCTGTTGCCTGTGTTTTGGGGGCCAGAGCCTGGTTTTAATATGTGACCAAGGTTGAAGACATTGGACAAGGTTTCAAGGTGAAACCTCCCCCCAAAACTCACAGTGCTCTGCTGAAGTCCAAATAATCGGGTCTTTCCACCTGTGACATGTACAGCTCAGAAATTCCTCCCTAAGAACAGATTTAACTGATTCTCAGAACTCTGAGTGATAATTGATATAGGTGTGGTTGGTCCAGTTTTGTAGAGGTTTTTTGTTTTGTTTTGTTTTGTTTTTTGAAGGGTGGGCATACCAGCTGAGCCTTACCTGGCCTCATCTGATAAATTTGTGTAGCCTCCAAGGGACAGAAATGGAGGTAGAGTGGGCAGTGTGGTGTCTGTGTCCCCATCTGGCTCCGTGGACAGGGTCTGAGCTGTGGTGAGCAAAGGGAAGCCACACATGACCTCTAAAAGAGCCGTTGCCAGGAGACAGTGACAAGAACTGTTTCCGTGACACATGCCACTCCCCGTGGCCCAAACCATATATTTTTTTCTTTAATTTTTTATTGTTATGTTAATCCCCATACATTACATCATTAGTTTTTGATGTAGTGTTCCATGATTCATTGTTTGCGCATAACACCCAGTGCTCCAGGCAGAACGTGCCCTCTTTAATACCCATCACCAGGCTAACCCATCCCCCCACCCCCTCCCCTCTAGAACCCTCAGTTTGTTTCTCAGAGTCCATCGTCTCTCATGGTTCGTCTCCCCCTCCGATTTCCCCCCCTTCATTCTTCCCCTCCTGCTATCATCTTCTTTTTTTTTTTCCCTAAAAATATTTCAATTTTTTTTTTAGAGGGAAAAAACTGTGATTCAACAGTCTTGCACAATTCACAGCGCTCACCATAGCACATACCCTCCCCAATGTCTATCACCCAGCCACCCCATCCCTCCCACCCCCAACCACTCCAGCCAACCCTCAGTTTGTTTCCTGAGATTAAGAATTCCTCATATCAGTGAGGTCATATGATACATGTCTTTCTCTGATTGACTTGTTTCACTCCGCATAACACCCTCCAGTTCCATCCACGTCATTGCAAATGGCAAGATCTCATTCCTTTTGATGGCTGCATAATATTCCATAACCCAGAAGGTTCACCAGCAGCCCAGCACATAGGCCGGGCACATCAGAAGTAATGTAGCCTTGGTTGTGGTGAGAATGTTGTGTCTGGTGTAGCAATGGCACCTGGCTCTGACGAATCTACTGGTGAATCTGTCAGGGACACCAGCTAGGGATGCTAAGACATAGCCAAGGGGCATTGCACAAGAGGCTGGAGCCTATAAGAGCAGTTTGGATTACTGCTCTTGAGAAGACCCATTTCTGCCCTTGAACTTACATGTATGTGAGGAAGCAGAAATTCAGACGTGAAGTGACTTTCCCCAAGGTCCCTAGAATGGACATCTATTTTTACAATTTATTCCTCTCATACTAATATGACCCTTGGGAACCATACATCTCCCCACTCCCAGCCCATGATGTTTGAGCTGTCTCAACTCCACCCTCAGCCCCAAGGCTGGCCACAAAATCTGCTTAGCCAATCCCAGCAGGACCTCCCCCTGGCACCAGATCCTGGGTCAGGGATGGGCATATCACCAATGAGAGCCAACGAGAGATGGTCCTGGGACTCAGGCTGGGACTCTCAGCAGAAAACCAATTTTTTTTTTTTTCTTTTTTGCTGATATTGGAACCGTGAAGAAGTAAGCCTGCATCTGCTGGTGGCCCTTCTTGCCAGAACGGGAAAAGCCTGCCTGAGAAGGAGACACCATGGCAGAGAGTAGGACCAGGAGATGGAGAAGAGCCCTGAGACATTGTTGGAGCCCCCTGGATTAAGCCAGACCTAAAGTTCGTGCTACTCCTGGGATTTCTGTTCCATGAGTCAATAAACTCCTATCTGTGCCACAGCGATCCGTGTTGGGTCCTTCTATCCCTTGGATCTTGATAATGTGGCTCAACATCACCCCCACCTCTTTCCCTTCTCTTCAGTCTAGTTGGATTTTGCACTGTTTCTTCTGGATTCTCTCAGCATTTTCCCAACAGAGTATCCTGGAGCTGTACAGGACCCAGCCAGAGTGGCGGCCCTGCCACCCCACGCTAACAGAAGATGTGCTAGTTACGTTAGCCCTGCTGAGTTCTCCAGTGGCCCCAGAAGATCCAGTAGCCCCTTTGTGCCTCTCATTGAACCACAGACCGACAAGGTTATTATGCAGTGTCTCTGCTTTTAAACTCAAGCCAGCAGGGAGGAGAGAGGGGGGCTCACCCCCAACACCCACACGTGAAGACCCCCCTGCCTCGGCGGGGTCCCATACAGGTCGGTCAAGTGTCTGGGACCTCCGTATATTTTTCCGACCTCATTTTGGAACTTGAGGCTAGAGAGTAGATGGGCCTTCACAACAATGAGAACAAGGACATTGAGAGCTCACTGGTGGAGTTCCAAGGTGTCCCAGGCCCTGGAGCTCTGACAAGGTGGTGTAGGCCAGTGGGCAGCCCTGGCCCACCTTTGCTCATTAGCTGGTTGACACTGGGCAAGCTGCTTGCTGTCTCTGGGCCTCCTTTCCCTTGTCTCTAAAATGAGGGCCCCCACCTCTCTCACCCTATCAAATCTGAACTTGCCATTATCCCCTGAAACCAGGGACCCTCCCTGAGTTTCCCATCTTGGTAGACGACATCACTATCCCCCCGGCACCCAGGCCACACACCTGGCTGCCATCCCTGCTCCTCCCTCCTCCCCCCTGCAGCCGAGGACCCCTGGGGTGACTATATAGGTGTAATCTCCAGGCTCCCTGTCCCCAGTCTTGCCCCTCTGACTTATTTCTACCACAAACATAAGTCCCTCCTACTTCAAACCCCACAACGGTACCCACTACCCCCACTGCGAACCCCCGTCTTTCCACGGGCTGCAGAAAAGGCTGGTGTGGTCTGGTCCCTGCCTACCTTTAGGTATAACTCACAACTGGTTCTCCCTCCTCCTGGGCTCCTCCCTGGGCTCTCTGGCTACACTGGCCTTCTCCTACCCTGGAACTTGGTATGTTCATTTCTGCTTCAGGGTCCCTGTGTGGGCTGCCCTCTGGGACACCGAGCTTCCTGCCCTGCCCCCCAACCCACCTCCCGTCCCCCACCCGCAGTCCACTGGGCCTTAATTTAAATGTGTCTATCTGGCAACACCTTCCCTGACCCTCTGGAGGAGCCAGCCCCTCCCGCAGCGCTCGACATGTCTCCAGGGTCACCTCACGGCCTGGAATGGTTTCTTCTAGGTCTACAGTGCCCCCCCCACCACCCCATGCAGCCTCCAATCTCCACCACGGTCCCAGCACCCTGGCCCATGACTGCAGGGGCAATTCGTCCTTGTCTCTGAGGCTGAGCCAACAGAAAACATTTCCTTTTCCAGTTCAAGAACGACCGGTCAGCGGGGCGCCCAGCCCCTCTCGCATTTATTGGAACCTGCTTACCCAGCAACCCACAAAGGAGCTTACTGGGGGGGGGAGCGGGGGGGTGATATTGAGGACTCTGGTGACCTAATCCTGGGATTATCATGGAGGCATGGGCCTCGGGCAGGGGAGAGGAGGTGGCAGGTAGAACGGAAGGGCCGATAAGGCCAAGGAAGCCCCCTTGGCCCCTGGGGCATATGCGCATGCTCACCCCATGGGTTTCTGTGCCTGGGGAGGAGAGGGGGCAGGGCCGAGCAGTGGGTGGACATTAGGGTTTCCTTTCCTTCAGTTTTTCCTTCACTTTTTGAGGCTCAAATTGGATCAGTCGCAGAATTTCCTTATTGGCCAGGGTCCCCTCGATGAACTCTTCCTCTGTGAGTTTATCTGTGCATGGGGGGAGAAAGGCCGCAGTCAGGATCGGCTGTTTCAAGCGGCGGCGAGGCTAACGCTGGCCAGCATGCCCCGTGGGGAGGTATCTGTTATGAAATCACTGAGTCTCGGTGCCATCCCGGAGGATACCTCCCCCGCCCCCATACCCAGCTCCTTCCCGGGACCCCTGGACCTCCCTGTGAACCAGCAGCCAGAGGGTTAATGACGGGCCCTGTGAGGGCCTCTTCTGATTGGTCAGTGCCTCTGCCCTGCTGGTTCTTAAATATTTTGACTATTACCCTAGCGCCCAAGCTTGGAGTTCTGGGGGAGCTTCTGGGGGACGGAGCAGAGCAAACAGAATCTCTGTCGCTCCACCCAGGGAGTAGGGACTGAAAAGTGAGGGGTCCAGCGTGGTGCCAGGGAGAGCCTGGCTTGTGGACCCGTCTCTCTGCCTCCCTCCTAGCTCGCGGGCTGACAACTCCTCTGTCCCAGAGCCACTGTGCAGGGAGCTGAGGCCACCACAGGGGGTGGCCCAGGAAGGAGGGAGAGAAAGCCCTTGCCCCAGGAAGCTCTTGGTCTGATGGGGAAGACAGTCGCATGTCTAAATAACTCTGGAAAAAGACAGGTGCTCCTTTCTGCTTATGCTGAGGCTCACAGTACCTGCACGTAGAGGGGGCTCAACACAGCTTGGCTGAACCAACCTGGATTTCCACTTGGACATCCTTAATCCCTCCTGGCTTAGGCACAGGTCTGGGCAGTAAAATTTGGGTTTTAAAGTCCCAGCTGCCCTATCAGCCTCACACAGAGCTTGAAATGCCCACGGTCGGAGCCCAGTTGTGGAGTGAGGCACTGTCTGCAGAGGGACCCTCTGAAAACGGCAGCCCCCACATACCACCGCCTGCCCACCGGCCGAAGCTATGACCTTCCCATGGGTCGGTTTTCAGGTTAGCAAGTAGAACAGGGGACTCGGCACCTGCCAGACCTGGGTTAAAGAGCCAGTGGGGGAGGTACCACTGTGTGCCCTGGAGGAGGAGGGGAAGGTCCTCAAGGGGGAGGTGACGTCAGGGTTGGGACTACTATATCTACCCAGCAAAGTTTAAGGAGGCGCTCACTTTCAGGGTGGTGCGAGCACAGGGCTAGCAGCTGAGAATGAGTGCCTCCTTAAATATTATGCCCAGATCTTGCCTGCCTCCCCCTGCTTCTGGCCCACTCCTTGCTTCTGAGTCTTCTTCCTGGACTGCAGGTTAGTGGGGCCAGGGCCATCTGCACCTGCCCTTATGTAACGTCCTGCTTAGGCCTGGGAGAGATTTTTTTTTCACTATGTTCTTTTTTTTTTTAAATTTTATTATGTTAGTCACCATATAATACATCATTAGTTTTTGATGCGGTGATCCACGATTACAAAAGATTACAAAAGGAGACAGTGCTGGCCCCGCAGAGGCGCTCGGGGGTCACTGACCCCCGGGGCAGTGACCATGTGATCTAGTGAACCTACAGTGGTCCTACTGTAGGTCCTCAAGTGAGACACTTCAGATGTTCAAAATCTCCCATGCCCGCCTCCCTTTTAGAGAATCAGATGATGAGGCCCCAGTGGGCTGGGTATCTCCCACATGGCAGCAACCAGCTGGAAACCACCAGACCAGATGTCCCCAGACCACGACTGGCCAGTCCCTGCTACGTCGTAGGGCTCCTTTCCGCTTCTCTCCCTTCACCCTCCGGGCCCCCATGGCCACGTGAGCTTGCAGCCTGCCCCGCCTGCCCCCCCCTGCCCGACACCACCCCCCTCTACCGTACCCTCCCTGCCTTGGCCATGAGCATCATGCCACAGCAGACCAGCTGCCCTGTTCTGGAATCTATCGCTGGTTTCAGTGAGAGACCATCTCTCCACGGGCTGCTCCCAGCCCAAGACGGAGGGAGCAGTGCAGCAGACTGAGACTGGCCGGCCTGGAAGAAGGGGGGCTTGAGAATGCCCCCAGGGGGATTTGCCAAAGCTTTCCCCAAAAAACGGTGGTACTAAGGCCTCAAGTCTCCTGTCCTTGCCTCTCTGTGCACAGGGCCTTACCTGCTCGGCAGTCTGGGTATTCCCAGCCTCCTCCAGCTCCCTCCCTGTTTTCCCTCCCAGGCCCGTCTTAGCCCTGTGATGGGTATTAAAGAGGGCACGTACTGCATGGAGCACTGGGTGTTATATGAAAACAATGAATCGTGGATCACCGCATCAAAAACTAATGATGTGTTATATGGTGACTAACATAATAAAATTTTTAAAAAAAAGAACATAGTGGAAAAAAAATCTCTCCCAATCTAATCTAAATCCAATTCTGTCTGGTGGTGCTTCTTGGAGGGGGGGACCCAAACTAACTCCCTGGAGTAAAAGCAGGTAAATTGGGATCCCACTTCTTTGGGACTCGATGCTAACTCAGACGTAGACTGAGCTGAAGTTGCTCTGTCCCACTGTGCAGAAAGCATTCTTGAAACCAAGTAAAGCGCACCCAAGTAAAGAGCAATCCGTTTAAACAGAAAGTGCTTGGCCGCGCTTCTAACCTGCCAGGCCAGCCTTATACACGGCTAAGGAGCTGCTGTCTTGACTTTTGACCGTTTCCTTCCCTGGGTGCTAAGGCTGTTCTAAGTTGCTAAGTTGCTAAGTTCCTTCACCAGCACTCCAGAATTCAGAGGCTTCCCTCTGCCCCGGAGAGCTCAAGTGGTGATGGGGTTGGAGGTGCAAAGGGGATGTGACATTGGTCCCCATCAGCAGCAGAGCTGGACCCTGCTGACCAGTCTGCTTACCACCCCCTCACCATTCACCCCCCCCCTCCCCTGTGCCCCAGGCCCTCATACAGCCCTGCAGCGCATGCTGGGATGAAGTGTCCCCGGTCCTGCCTGGACAAGGGCCCTCGGAGGACCAGTCTCATCGGGGGTCTCTGGGAAACAGCCCGTGACTATAAAACCAAAGGCTATGAAAGGGGAAGGAATTCACCATCATCCTGCTTTCCAAAGAACCCCCAGATCTTCTCGGCTCGCTTCTCAGGCGTGTTTTCATCTTCTGGAAGGTGCTTCACATCCTCAGGACTGATCATTTTGAAAATAGCCTGCACCAAATAAAGAGGAAGGTCCCATCAGAAGGAGCAGCAGGGGCTGATGACCCCCGGGCCCAGGCGTCCCCTGTGGCAGAGGTTAAAATGCAGATGCCCAGGCCTCAGCCTGCCCTGCTGAACCAAAGTGTGGGGGAGTGGAGTCGGGGCATCTGTATTTTTGAGATCCTTAGAAGGGACAGGGAACGGGGTGAAGGAGTCAGGGCAGCTTTCAGGCCTTTTGTCCCTTTCTGCATTTGAATTTTTGGATTTCCTGACCATGTAGACACATTACTTTCATTTTATTAAAAAAATGAGAATAAGAAACAAAAAGCCTTCTGGTGATCGTCCCACAGCAGCCCCCAAGGTGGCACTTTGGGAACTGCTACTTTGAACCCTATAGCCCTGAAGTCGTAGAATATCAACCGGCTTCTTCGGGGTCCATGTGGTACCTTGGTTGCCCAGCTGGGTCCGCCTACAGTAATAACGGCTAACCTTTGTCGAACGCTTAACATACACCACACCTCTAAGTATTTGTACCTGCAACCTCCACAGCAACCTTATGACGTGGGTATTGTGGGCCCCATTTTACAGATGAAGAAACTGAGGTACACCAGCTTGCTGGAAGTCTCCTGGGCTAGAAGCAGAAGAGCAGAGATTCTAACCCAGGCCGTTTGGTTCTAGAACCTTCATCCCCACACCACACTGCTTGGTGGGCATCCTAGGGGCTGGGGAAGGGAGAGGGACAAGGTGGGGTCTCCGCGTGCTCTCCCAGCTCCGGGTTACGAGGACCCCACGAGCTCAGTAACTCCAGGCCTGGCCAGGCCAGAGTGGACACTCCGATGGTGGTCCCGAGCCCGTGCCTGCCTGCGCACTCAGCGTTGGGGCAAGCCTGGGGTGCAGGCAGGCGAGTTGCGTGGGAGTTGGGGAGCACTTTGCAGACACTCAGGCAGGGGTGGTAATGCCTGTGAAATTAGCACCCTCGGGCGCCTGGGTGGCTCAGTCGTTAAGTGTCTGCCTTCGGCTCAGGTCATGATCCCAGGGTCCTGGGATCGAGTCCCACATTGGGCTCCCTGCTCGGCGGGAAGCCTGCTTCTCCCTCTCCCACTCCCCCTGCTTGTGTCCCTGCTCTCACTATCTCTCTCTCTGTCAAATAAATAAATAAAATCTTAAAAAAAAAAAAAAGAAGAAGAAGAAATTAGAACCCTCCCCCATCATGCTACAGCCAGAGGAGCAAACCCAGAAGCTCCAGGGAGCAGTCTTGGCTGGCAGCACTCAGAGCCCGGGGGTGCCCAGCAACCCAAGTGTAGGGGGGTTGCTCCCTTAACACCCCTGGCTCGGTCCTGAACCAGGGGAACCACGTCCCAGCTGGAGCGCTAAACCCTGGGAGTGCCTGCCTGCCTGCCCTGCCCGGCTTCTAACTCCAAGGACAGACTGTCAGAGCCGTCGGTCCTCACCCTGGTTCCCAGAGGTTTTTCCAAGGCCATGTAGCTAGTTGGCAGCAGTACTGGGATTAGAACCTATAACCTTGGACCCCCGGGGCAGTGACCATGTGATCTAGTGAACTGCAGAGCCCTGGCATCATGTTGCACTGCCTCAGCCACGGGTCCTATAAATCTACTCCTCCCTCCCATGCCCTTCCCTCTTCCTTTTCCTCAAGGAGCACCAACTTGGAGGCCACTGCAGGGCCTGGCATCCTATAGATGGTTCTGAGGTCGTGCTCCCTGTCCCGGGCCACCTGCCAATCCAGGAGAGCGTGCCCGGATGCCAGTGACTTCCCGCCCTTAATCGGAGGCCCAGGCCGAGTCCGCTGCCCACAGGCTGCCTGCTTGGCCACTTGGTTTATGGTCTCTCCTAATCAGGCGGAGAGCCGAGCAAACGCAAGCAGGATTACAAATGTACCAAAAGATGAGATAAAATACAAAAGACATTCTCCCTCTTATCAGGGCCAGAATTAGGGGAATAAAGCAAGGACATGGGTGGAGGGTTCAAAAATGCCAGGAAAAGATACCAAGTGAAATACAAACGACATCAGAAGAAAAAAATAGAAACACCCCAATTGTCCAAAACTATAGCCCTGGTTAAATAACGTCAAGGTCTTTCCATAAGACGGAATTCTAAGCAGCTGTACAAAATGGTTTTGAAGAAGATACCTTGATAGGGAAAATATAATGAAACAGTAACTGAAAAAGGGTCTGATATGTCACTGTTCCAAAATTATTTTTAAATATATATATACAGATAAAGGGCTGGGAAGGTATACACCAATATACTGACAGTAGCTCCCTCCGGATGATGGAGTTAAAGGCAATTTCCATTGTCTTCAGCATATGCTTCCACATTTCACAAATTCCTTACTTAATAAATAAAACTATTCCGAAGACACCTAAAACCTTCACAACGAATGATCTGATGAGGGGCCAGTGTGGGCGGGGAGGAGAGCGTGGTTTGGAAGTGCAGGCCAGCGAGGGGCCGGCGGCTCAGTCCAGAGCACAGGGGGGGTGAGAAAGCCGGGCCCCCCCGCCCCCCCGCCCTGCACCACCGCCCGGAGGGTGAAGTGGCCTGCCTCAAGCGATGAAGACCATGAGGCCTGGAACCCACATTTCATGTCCCTCAAAGCTGGCCTCTTTCTACTAAGTATTCGAAACATGTTACATACTTTAGTTGTGGAACAATCTGAATATGTGCCCCGGAAGGTTTGGAAGGACACTTTAATGAAGATAGAAGGAAGGATGGAAGGAAACAATAGGTAATTAACGGGAAATACCCAGATTCTTCTTCAGGAGGAAGAGGAAGCTGCAGGGAAGTGGCCAGCCTCTATTAAAGTCAGTGTCCTGGAGACCCCTCCTCCCATGCTCTCGGAGCCCCTGAGCCCCAGCACCTGGACCCCCGGCTCCGCCCAGCCAGCCCCGCCCCCGCTGTGTCCCCCTGAATCCCTGGCGGCTGCGGCGGCAGCAGGAGAAGCCACCGCAGGACCCCGGCCCCCGGCCCCGGGTGAGCCCAGGCCCGCCATGGGGAGGCCAGCCGAGACTGACCGTGACGATCTCCAGCACTTCGTTCTTGCTGATGGTCCCGTTGCCGTCCACGTCGTAGAGGGAGAAGGCCCACTCCAGCTTCTGGTTGGTCTTGCCCTCCGAGGTCATGTGCAGGGCGATGACATACTCCCTGAAGTCCAGCGAGCCGTCGCTGTTGGCGTCGAAGCTGCGGAACACATGCTGGGCGTAGGCCTTGGGGTCGGCCTCGGGGAAGAACTTGGCGTAGATGCTCTGGAACTCCTGCCGCGTGATGCGGCCGCTGGGGCACTCCTTCAGGAAGGACTGGTACCAGGAGCACAGCTTCTCCTCTGTGAACTTGGTGTTCAGCTGCAGGTCCTCCAGGATCTCCTTGGACAGGGCCCCGCTCTTGCTGTTCCCCATGGGTGAGGCCGTGTGTGCCCGGCCGGGCCGCGGTGGCTGGACCAGCGGGTGCAAGCGACGCGCTGTCCTGGCCGCCGAGGGCCGGGCACTGCTGCAGGACACGGACTCGGAGGTGCTGGTGGATTAGAGGATTTGTGGCGAGTTCACCCCAGTCCTTGGAGGGAGGAGGGGCCGGGATGGGGGGGGGCAGGCTCCCAGACCCGCCCCCCCCCCCGCCCCCACCCCTTGCCCTGAGATTAAAAGAAAAAGCTGACAGCAGGCGGCCAATCCATCTTGGCCTTCTGGGAGGACAGGGTAGGTCAGAAGCAGAGCCAAAGCCTTGGCCTTCACAGCAGCTCCTTGTCCCTCCCTCCAGCTCTCCAGGAACCATGACGCGCATGGCCTGTCTTCCCCCCAAACTCTAAGGGTCCCCAGGGCAGGAGTGGCGTTTCGCACTGAGCTCTGTACTGCAGTCGTTAAAAGCCAGGCTCTGGAGCCAGCCCGGGTTTAAATCCCAGCTTTGCAGCCTAGACGTGCTTCTTAACCTCTCTCTGCCTCGGATATTCTTCTAATCCTTCACCTTCCGTGGCAAGGCCTGGACTGACCACTCTGTTTACAAGAGCACACCCCCGCCCCCAACCATCCGCACGCCCCAAAGCCCGCTTTATTTTTCTTCCTTGTGGGTATGCCTTCTGACTCACTTTGAATTACCCCGTGTGCTTGGCGGGTCCACATCAGAACAAAAGCTCCGAGAAGGCAGGGATTCTGTCTGTTTTGTTCCCAGCCACATCTCCATTGCCGACAGGGTGCCCGGCAGGTTGGGGCCCTCAGTGAATATTCCTTGAGTGAACGGGTATAATAATAGCATCTACCTCATTGTTATTTTGAGGCTAAACTGAGTAAATACGTGCAGCGCACTTAGAACAGAGCCAGGCACACAGTCAGTGCTAAATACGCGTTAGTTTTTGGTATTACTCATCTTGGACAGAAATCAAAACCTAAACTGCCCGCAGGAGCCAGCAGGTGGAGTGAGTGAGCAAAGCAAGTGAATCAGGGACAACGGGGAGTGGTAAGGCCTGTGCCACCCACTGGAAGGGGCTGCCCATGTTCAATGCCATTTAAATGTGGTCATTCAGGATTATGGCCCAGTGGTTCTAGATTTTTCAGTCCTGACCCCTGTGGTTCCAGAGTATTTCTCAGGAGGCCTTAATGGTAGGGGAATGTGTGTGTACTTACTATTTTTTCCCATCAGTTTGTGAGAGCATATTATTTCTTAATAGAAGACCTTTCTTTTTTCCCTAGACTTTCACTATCCTGGAGCAAGGTGTTTGTTCTCAAGAGCAGTTGGAAATAGAACAGTCACCACACTCAGAAACCAACCAACCAACCAACCAACCCACCCCAGCTCATGAAAGTGAGGCCAGAGGCTTCACCCCTTGTCTCCGAACCAGGTGTGGGAGGTGATTAGAAGTGCCTCCTGGCGGGACGCCTGGGTGGTTCAGTCGGTTAAGCATCCAACTCTTGGTTTCGGCTCAGGTCATGATCTCAGGGTCGGGGGGTTGAGCCCTGCATCAGGCTCCGCACACAGTGTGGAGTCTGCTGGAGATTCCCTCCCTCTGCTCCTCCCCCACTGCAAGCTCTAAATAAATAAATAATCTTAAAAAAAAAAAGAGAGAGAGAAGTGCCTCTTGGTGCCAAGCCTGTCCACACCGAGCCTGCAGATCAGGGGAGGCCAATGTTACAGGCACGGAGCCCCAAAAGGCGTGCAGCCTGCCAGGGTCATAATGGCTGCTAAACAGCAAAGCCAAAAGAAAAGCTCTGGGCGGCCAGGCTCCCCGTTTGGGATCTTTTCATTACATTACAGCAACTCCTTTCCCAAGGCGGCCTGAGCAACCGGGCTGTCAGTGAGGGGCTGGGTTCGCCATGACCTCGGAAGAGCCGGTGGGCAAGGAGCTGGGGGATACGTCCTGGGTTAATGCAGGAGGCAGCCAGAGGCCCCCAGGCCCTTCTGCCCTGGCTGAGGGCAAGGAGGAAGGAGCCAGACCCAGGTGGGAAGCAGCCTGGTGCTTGAGGTCCGCATTCCTCAGGCCGCTGTGCCCAGGAGGGGCCGGGCCTTGGGATGGGACCACAGGCATCTGTGTTGATGCTGCTGAGAGAAGGTCATGACCTGGGGGTTTGTTTGAAAACCTGCATAAACATCTTCTATCAGAGGGAGAGTTTATGCTTATGCTCCTTAACCAAACAAGTTGTTGGAGATGATGTATTGTGAATGGATTTGTTAAGTCTGAGCCGGGGCCATAAACTCTCCTCAAAACCCAAAGACTGCTGGGGAGAAGGCCGGCCCTCCAAGCAGAGGACCTCAGTTTGTGACTCCCCATCCTGGCCTGGCCGCGGAGAGATGCGCTCTCTTCCGAGGCTGGCCCCGTCACACCCACTCCAAGCCAGGAGCCCCCAGCACTCACCCCGACTCCCCTACCTTCCCCTGCTCTGGGCTGAAGGACAAGATGGCCCTTCCTCCCATGGCCTGGAACTGGAGCCTGCCCCCCAGTCTGCACTGAGCCGAGAAAGGGGGTACAGAGAGGGTGGGTGGGTGGCAGAGAATGGGACAGCACCCCCCCCCCCCCACGGCCCTCCCATTGCAGGAAATGGCAGTCCATCCCTTTGGTGGCTTGGACCGAAACCCTCGGAATCACCCTCAGCACCTCTCTGTCACACCCCATCCCAACCTGTCGAGAATCGCATGGGAGCCGCCTTCCCTGACCCCTTCCCCCCAATTCCCCGTGACCGTGACCACATACTGCAGGCACCTTCGTCCCCTCCCGGTCCAGCTTCTTTGCCTCCCTGCTTTCGCCCCTGTTCCCAACAGTCCTGTACACATCCCTACGGCCACAAAGTCCGGCCGCACGCTCCTTGGCTTGGACCCCCCAGCGTGAAAGTCCTTCAAGCGTCCGCTGCCCCCGCCCACCATCCCTCTCTGTTCCAGCCCTGCTGGCCCCAAGCCAGCAGGCGTCCCTCCCCCACCCCCACTGCCTATAACCAGGCCATCTCCTGCCTGGAACGTTCTTCCCCCAGCTACCTCCTGGGCTCCCCCCACCCCCCCACCCGGGGTCTCCTTGCCTTTGATTTAATGTCACCTTCCCAAAGAGGCTGCCCCCACCTGCCCTATTTAATACTGCAATTAACCCCGGGTCAACCCTGAAATGACCCCTCCTCACACCCTGCCCAGTCCTTCGTTCTCCCTAACACTTCACACCTTCTGCACCTACGTGGGATTAGTTACTCTGCGGACTGTTGTTGTCTCTCTCCCTGCTAGAAAGCCAGCTCCAGGAGAGTGGGGCTCTTCATCTGTTCCACTCACCGATGTGTTCCCACTACCTAAAGGGGTGTCTGGCATATAGTAGGTGCTCCATAATTATTGCATGAATGAATGGATAAATGGGTGGATGGATGGATGGATGGATGGATGGATGGATGGGGGAAGAAAGAACAGCCAGGAACCCCTTCTGTCCACAGGGACAGAAGTCGCCAGGGGAGGGGGCCGAGAAGGGCCAGGTGCGTGGGTCCAGCAGCACGGTGCCCATCTGTGGGGGGGGGGTCCTCACCCAGGTGCCCTCTGCTAAGACATCAGGCACAAGATTATCGCCAACCTTGGGATCCTGGAGGGACTGCTGAGATCATTTATACAAAGGAGAGGGTGACAGACCCTCCAGGAAGGAGGGTCATCCAGCAGGACCCAGTGTCTCTGGACAGTTTATTTTACATGGGATGAATCTAAGCATCTTAAGTGTACACACAGAGCCAAAGTGGGGGGGAAGGGGATGAGAGAGCATTTCACTTCCTAAAAATGCTTTGTAATAATGCAGAACAATTATATATAGCGAACGCCTTCAAAATTTAAACCCTTTAAACATTTAATTCTTTAGCATTAATACACACAAATGCTATTACGGGGGGGTCAGGGACGGGGGCGGGAAGGGCAGGTCACAGCCTCCATAGGGATCAGAGTTTCAACAGTGTTACTTATAAATTATAGTACATCAATTTTATTTACTGATCTAAGCAGCCAGAGGATGGAAGGTATACAATGCGGCGTAAACACATTCATACCGGGATGAAGAATGCTGGCAGGAGACACAGCTTTTTTTTAACATTAAAAATGTATAAAGTATTTAGCAAAAGTTACAGAAAACAGACCAAATAAGCAAGTTTATTCTGTTAGAAAATCCCACTGTCATAGGGTTTGCTGATGTGCTCATCTGTGAAAGGGCTGCCCCCCCTCCCACCCCCCCACCCCCCCCACCCCCCCACCATGATCTCAGTCCCCAGGAAAGGGAAGAGATGCAAGTTTGGGACCCCTGTCACCAAGGGATGGCTGGTGTCCCTCCGAATGTCTGTTCCTGGGTCCACACGGCTGCCTGGAGGCCACAGCTCCCAAGGGCCAGTCTGCTGCGTGTGATGCTACTGGAAAGGGCGTGTCTCCGCTTGCTTGACAAACGAGGGAGTACGGAGGTCCCAGGAGGGGATGTGACTTCACTTCGGGTTACAGGACACACGAGGCGGCAGAGCGGGGCCAGTCCACTACTCCTGCCCTGGCACCGAACGCTTTCCCTCTCCATCCCCATGACGGCACCCATGGGCCCAGACCCTTTGCCCTCCACCACTGCAATCCTGTTAGAAATGTCCCTCCAACACAAGGGGTCAGTGTCCCCTGAACAGCACACAGGGAGAGACCCAAAGCTCATCACCAACCCAGCTCCCTCAGAGACGCCTCCCAACAAAGGCTCCTTTTCACGCCCCGGCATCAAAAGGGTTAGAGAACAAAACATCGGTTCCTGTCACCTTATTCTCCCACCCAGACCTGCTGCAACAGCAGTGGGTCCTTCACCTTCAGGAAAGGCCAGACAGAAGTAATACTCCCGTAGGAGCCGGGGGGCGGGGGAGTGGGGGGAGAGGCCAAGAGTCCTCCCTGGCAAAACTCAACCCGGATGCGCCCAAGAGGAATGGGGTCCTGCAGACTTGGGCTCCATGGCCCACGCCCTCCCCCTGGCCCGGCCCCAGGAACATCTTGCGTTTGCTCAGAGGGCTGCCCGGTTGCCTCCAAGGGCTCACAGCAGGGCACCGAGACACGGCTTGGCGGAGTCATCACCTTGGGGGTCATGCCCCTAGCCTGCCCGGCGCTGGCGGGGTTTGGTCCCATCTCTGCCACCGTCTGCCCCCCCGCCCCTCCCCCCACAGGGGGCTGCAGACACAGGCTTGGCTCAGTGTGACCACCAGCTGAGCGAGCCTCCAGCAGTGCCAAGCAGCTCACGGGAAGAGGCTCTTGTCTCCATCATGCCTGCCTGGCTCCTGGGAAATAGACCTCAGGACATGAGATCAAAGATCAGGGGGCGAGACTCCAAAGGTAATGATGTATAAGTGCTCCCTTCAGGGCCCTAGGAGGAACTACCTCATTCGCAACAGCTTGGGAAACTCTTGATTTTAGCTCCATTCGTGTCTAAATAAGAGAAGTGCCAGGGTCTCCCTCTCAGGAGGATTTCAGACACCATCACGCTCAACCCGTGCCGATGGGGCCCAGGTCAAGCATGATGGTGTCGGGTACAGACCCCGAAAAACGAGAAGGGGCTGAGGGAGTGCAGTAGCTAGAGGAGCCTGGGGAGACCAGAAGGTACACCTGCAACCTACAGACGGAGCAACAGAGATCCAGGGAGAGGTCATGGCCAGCCCAAGGTCGCCCCCTGTGTCTTCACCTGCAATTCATCCGTTCGCCTTCCATGCCCCCTCATGCTCAGAAGCCAAAGGCTGTGTGAACTCAAGCGAGGGCCCCCCAGGAGTGTGTGGATCTCCGAGCTGAGGTGCAAGCTTCAGGGTGCAGCAGAAGTGGGAGGCACCCCTCCCCCAATCCCCGGCCCCTTTCTGCACAAAAACCTGAAATGAACCACAAGGAGTGTGAGCCCCCAAGAACCACTGTGGGCAAGGCTGGCACTTGGAGGAGCCTTGGGAGGCACAGGAAGCAGCCGTGCAAACAAGCTGAGGACCCTGGGCCAGGAGCCTCCAGGGCAAACAACGCATTTCACAAGCAAGGAAGCGCGTGGTTCACCCATGCAACAGAGCGGGATTCCACGAGACGTGGGGACGAGCTAGGGACGCACACCACGTGGGTGACCCCAAGCACGAAGCCTTGGGAAAGCAGTCGGACTTGATGGCTACATCAGTGGCTCCTCTTATAGGACATTCTAGAAAAGGCAATACCATAGGGTCCGATGATCCATCGGCGGTCGCCGGGGGCGGGATGGGGAGCAGGTGTGGGTGATCGGCTCTAAGGGAGCTGGAGGGAATTTTCAGGAGTGATAGAAATATGATGATTTTGGTGGTGGTTATAAGACTGTAGGTTTGTCGAAATTCACGGAACCCTATCCTTCAAAAGGGTGCATTTCACTGCAGGTCAATAAAGCCCAACAGGTATGTCAAACACCTCAACAAATCTTAAAAAAAAAACAAGGCGGTAGGTCTGGGAGGCGTTGTGAGGATTCGGGGAATACGCTGATCTGTACCCCACTTAACATGCCTGAAGTGCTTTCCCTACCTACATAACCACCAGTGGGTCTGAAGAATCCTGTTTAAACTCTCCCTCTCAAGGAAGGAAGTCAAATCACTTCAACGCGTCTGGAAGTCAAATCACTTCAACAAGCCAGTCTTTGACGTCCTTTGAAGTTTATGGCTAGTGTTTCCAAGAAGGGACTTTGGCTTCGCCAAGATTCTTAGGTACCCATCCGCTAATCTAGTAATTGATTGGTTTTCACAAAGGGGAGAGAAACACCCCCCTTCTCTCCCTGGTCTGTGAGTGTGGACACTGTTCCTGTTCGCTTCGGTCATTAACCAGCCCCAGTGAGAAGTGCCTCCTGGTGCAGAAATCCTCTCGGCCCGACAGGCGCTGGGTGGGTGGGTAGAAAGAAGGCCCAAGGTGGTCCCACGGGCAGCTAGCCCCGTGGTCTGGTTGGCCAAGGCTTTGCAATACTGATCAAAAGCAATAGAAGGAAGGAGTAAGTGGCTTTTCCTGGAGGTTGCTGTGGCAACCAACTCATTTTGAACGCCATTTATCTTGGAGATTCCCCCCCCCAAAAAAAAATCAGGTTTTCACAGACAAAACTAAGTGCATCCATGTCTTGTAGGAGGGCAGGTAGAAGGGGCTCACTTGTTCTTAGAGATCAACGGATGTGCCCAGGTACATCCCAGACACTCTCTGAATAAGCCCGGCCGTACACTCTTATAACTTCAACACCGAATTTACAAGAATAAAATAAAACAGCAACAACCGGATAGAGCACTACTCCAGAGGGCGCTTTGGGATGTTCTAGACTTCAGCCTCAACTTGGTTCACCCAGGGCGGGAGCCCTGTTAACAGACCCCGATCCTCACTCCCTGGACTCACTGGCCATCCTTGGGCTTCGTTCTTCTTCTCTGTCAAGTGAGGAGAGTTATTTAAAAGAAACAAGAGAAATCTCTGAGGTCTGATTTGCATCCGGGCTGCATGCGCTGAGGGCCCGGTGATTATATACCCTTGTTGCTGTCCACCTTCCACCCAGCGGGGAACTACTACACAGCAGTTCATGTTAGGATGACATGTTCATGTTAGGCTCTGAGTCGGTTAAATGTGGAAGAGGTGCCATGCTGTCATTCTCCAGAGAGGTTTAAAGAGCCTCTTGTCTACATGGAGAACAGAGAAGACCAGGACAGAGCGCGTATCTTGCATATGGCTGCATTTCTGGCGCCCTGCACGATGCCTGGCTCGTCCCGAGTGTCTGCTCAGTGAACGAATGAATGAATGCAGTTGTGCCAGCATGAAAGAGAGTATCTCTGGAAACCACAACTCTGCAAAGAGTGCTTGTATGTGAAGGCCAAGGTTAAGGACCTGCAAGACCCCAGAGAAAACCTAAGTCTACGCAGAAGAGACGGTGGTCTTTCCCCTGCCCTGTCTTGTCCCCAGAACTTAGCACATTGCTCAGCCCTGACTAAGCTCTTTGAGGAACGAAGGAGCATGGAGAAAAAGGGAAAGCATGTGAAGAAGCTAATGAGAGTGAGCTGAGGAGTGCGGGTGGGGGGAGGGGGAAGAATGACTTCAGAAAACCCACACTGGGCCAACTTGGGCTCCCCTGGAAGAGGCAAGAGAGCCCCCCGCCCCCTGTCCCGGGGAGGACCAGAAGACTCAGGAACCCTCAGGAGGGAGGGAGAAAACAAAAACCGATGAGCCATCTCACACTCCAAATATCTGTGTTAGTAACAAGGCTATTGGCTTTGGACATTTGAAAATCACCCACAAATTAGTCCGCTAAAGCCACAAGGCAATTACTACCAGCACCCATTTTTCATAGAGAAACCAAGACGTAATATCCTAAAATCAGTCACTGGTGTCCCGGCACAACCCCTGACCCGGAAGCAGTGGTCCTCCCTGCCAGGGACAGATCCATCCTCCACGCTGACCTTTTTGGTTGAGATGGTTCAATAGGACAAGTGACAGAGCGTGGCTTACTCTAGGACATTGGGCATCTTTCTATTCTAAACTGCGAGCACGTAACTCTGACTCAGCGAAAGAGGTGCCAAAAGACTCAAGATGCGTAAGTCCTCAGTTCCCAGCATGAAGACCGAGCGACCGGGGAGTTGTGCTCTTAGGACCCTGCCCTTGTAGGGCGCGTGTGGGTCCTGCACGCCAGAAGTAATCAAGGTTTGAAAGATGAGCTAAGAAGGATGGGTTCCCAGGACGTGGCTTCTGGGCTAGAAATCTGCCCCCGGCTGGCCGCGTGACCACCTTCGGGGGGCGGGGGCGTCATTTCATCTTCCAGTCCCCTGGTGCGGATTCTCAGGGTTTGACATGGTGGAGAACGGGTTTGCTGTGTTTCTATAAAGGGAGGGAATGATGAGCGGTGTGCTGAATGCCTCCCGCGTCATGCTCAGACCCGGCTTTCCCAGGAATCGGGAAGTGGGGAAAGGGGAAGGTGGTACCGACACCAAGCGGGGCTCCATGCAGGGCTCTGGAATGTGCGGGACGAGCTGAGGCCAGGGTGGCAGAACACTGCCAGGAAGGGGACACCCTGCTGTGACCATGAGAGTCTGCCATGCCTGTGCAGTGCCCACTGAGAGAAAGCCACACGGGGTCCCACGCCCACCATGCACTAGCAGGTGGAGCCCTCTGCAGGGGCGGGGGGTGGGGGGTGGGGACGAAGACCCATCCCCACCCACCTCCCACAGGGGACTGAGCCAGCCCCGCGAAGAGTCTGGGAAGGGGGGGCGGGGGGGAGCCCGGAGGCAGCTTCCCTGAGGAAGCAACTGAGGGTTGGATGGATTGGGGTTTCCAGCCTGGAGACTTTACAGAAGATGCCTGACCTAATATGAAACGCGACTCAACACTCTGACTTGGGGCTGATGTGCTGAATGAGGTAGTTCCACCCTGACCTCTCCAGGCAGGGTCAGTCTGGGTAGAGAGGAGGCCTTATTCCCAAGACCCCAGACGGTGGAAAAGGGGCCAAGAAGAGCCAGGATGCGGGCTCCCAGAATGCAGTGGGAAGACAATAAAGAGGGTGGGCTGCAAAGAATTCTGGGTGCGGGCTGCCGAGCTGAACGGTGCCTTGGATCCACGATTCTGATCCTGATACGTGGCTGGAGACAGGGACCTTTCTCCCGTGACCCTCCAAAGCCCGGGACACAGGGAGCCAGCTAGACAGAGGGCCTTGGGGCTTCCAGGGGCGTAAGTATATGACACAGGTGGTTCTGGGTGGGGAGGCGACCCCTCCGGTGCTCAGCAGGGACCACAAAGCTCCAGCCTCAGTTTGTCCTTGGAGCTGCAAGCACGGTGCAGGAGTCAGGGGTGGGGGCTTCGGGGGGCTTCAGCCTCGGAGACGAGGGTTAGGGCTGTGGATCCGTCTTCTTGGCCTGGGCACACTGGCAGCTCCCAGCAAGGCCGCCCTTCTGGAATCGCCCCAGCTCAGTGGACCAGGCCCAGGACAGGGGGTGGGAGGGCAGCTGAACTCGGCAGCGGGCCCCGTGGCGGGCGCGGCCACCTCCTCTCCATGGGACCCCCAGCCCCTCGCCTCCGCAGGACCCCCGGGGCCGTGCGTGCCCGTCTAAATCTCCATGTCCACGGGGCGGATGTTGCCCGTCTTGTGCTCTCTGACCCACAGCTCCCTGTCTTTGGCTGGGTCCACTTTTCGAAGCAGTTGGTCCACAGGCTCGACTGTCTGCAAGGGACGGAGAAGGGGACGCAGTCAGAGCTGGTGGCTGCCCCAGGGACAAAAGAGGCCCCCGTGAGGGGCAGCCGTGCGCAGCGCTGCAAAAGCGGGGAGCCCGGGGCTCTCGCCCTACTCTGCGTCCCGCTCAGTGCGCTCCGGCCCCAGCCTGCAGGCCTGCATGACAGGGCCGGGTGGCCCAGCTCCAGATCCGGGGACAAGCACCTTTACCATCCCAGAACAGGGCCAACGGAACGCTCGCCTTAGGGAATTTGAATTTTTCTGGATTATTTATTTTTTGGTAAGAAATTTGCCACAGGAGGTGATAAAGCCTCAGCTATTTTAAACTGCCCTGACCTTGTTTCTCCTCGGGCTGACAGCTCACGCATGTCTCTATCGCCTGGGATGGATTCACGAGGACGTCCAGGGAAGCTCTGCAAGCCCACCCCAAGACGGGGCTCCCAGGCCCAAGCACCTGCCACCACCCAGCGCCAGGTGGCGCTCCTCTGGCCCCGGGTCCCCCCACCGCCCCCCCCCCCACCCTGCGCAGGGGTCCTCGGCCCAGGGCAGGCGACTCACGCTTTGGTTGAACATGTCTGTCTCGTGCCGCAGCTGTGTGTACTGACATAGGTGCTGCCGGATCATCTCCACCCTCTCTACCTCCAGCCGCTCCAGCTCCTGGTGGGGGCGCGCACACAGACATCCCTGAGCACGTGCCCCCAACCTGGGGACCCTCCCGCCACGCAGGTCCCAGCCCACCCTACCCACAAGACACAAGTCACTGCCCACTTGGTGTGGGTCCCCGCGGACCCCCAGGGGCTGAACTTGCCCAGCATGGGGTGGGGGGAGGGGATGACTTGGCAGTTGGTGTCTCCTGACTCCTGCTCTGCCGGGCGGGTGCGGTGGGTGCTAAGAGCTTCGCACGCGTTACTTAATTGTCCTCGGTCGTTTTAAGAGAGAGGTTCTTATCTGTAACATCACTTGCCCAAAGCCCAGGGCATTATGGGAGGAGCAGGGTTAAAACCAGGGTCGGGATTCTGTCCCAGGGCAGCCCCAGCCCCAGTTCCCAGACCAGGTGGACGCATGGGTCACATGTCGAGATTCTGTGCCTCAGACTCTTGGGGCTTTGTCCCTGGGCCTCTGCCAAGCAGCCTCCTCTCCTCTGTCCATCTAATGCTGAAGCGCAGAACAGAGACCAGGCCAGGAGACTTGGGGCACGGGGTGGGGGGTAAGGGTAGGAGTCAGATGGCCATGGTCAAATGGAAGAAAAAGGGCTTGTCCTTTGGTTTCTAGATGGTTCTGCATCTTTGGAATTTAGAGGATCAGACTGCTATTCTGTGCACAACTAGGTCACTGCGCAGGTGATTAACTGGGAAGAAGGGTAAAGCAGGAGCTTAATTAGGAGATTAAGCAGGAGGAAGACGGGGTCACTGTCCCTGGGGGAGGCCTCTAATCTGCTCTGGTGGGCTGACACCTGGGCACGCAGAGAGTTAGTCTGTCCTGTGCCGGATGGACGAGGGGAGCTTTGGGCAGTGGGACAATGCAGTCAGGACCTGGCACCGGGCCTCCTTTCTCATCCAACCCAACGGCCCAAGTGTCAAGCATGCTTCACTGTCCAACCCAACGGGTGCTCACTGAGGAGGAGATGTTGTCCCTTCATAAGATACTCAGGAGGTGCCCGGGGGGCCCAGTCAGTTCCAACTCTCGGTTTCGGCTCGGGTCTGGATCTCAGGGTCGTGGGATTGAGCCCCAAGTCAGGCTCTCTCTCCTTCTGCCCCTCCCCACAGCACTCTCTCTCTAAAATAAATCAATCTTAAAAAAAATACCCAGGAAGACAAAAAAAAGGGGAGGTCTGATGCCTATTCCCCGCACCCCTTGGTCAGAGGCCTCCACTCCCATTCCTTCTAAACAGCTACGCCAACCTCACTCCGTATGTATCCTCTATCTAGGATGGGCAACCCTTCTGGGGGTGGGGAGGGTCACGCTTCCTATAACTTGGCTATTTGTCCTAAAGGCTCCCCTGTCCATCTGGTTGAGGGCATTCCTGGTTGACCCTGACCCCTCCGGGGACAGCCAAAGAGGACAGAGTAAGACCCAACCCTTGCCTGTGTTCACACAGCTACAAAGTGCCAAAGCAGGATCTGAATCCACACAGACTGGCCCAGAGTCAAGGTCTTGACCTCAGCGGTAGAGAGGATCTAATGGCCATCTCTATGGCCACTCCATGCCATCACCCGCATGCCCACCAGCATCCCCCCCAAGGGCTTCCTGAGCACGGGCCCCTGGGTTGACAAGCTTCCTCACCAGTGTGGTGGTCACCATCTCTTCAAACCACTTGGACTGGGCTTGGTTGTAGAGGTCCACACAGCGCATGAGGTCATCTCCTGGAAAAGACCACCGGCCACCGTCACACTCTGTCCTGTCGTCACTATGGCTGCCCTGCCCCATCTGTGCCCCGTGCCCTCTCCTCTTCCTGGGTCGTGGAAGCCACTGGGAAGCGGAGGGAGTGGGAGCAGAGTGAAGGAAAGGGGGCAACCCCTCATCATGAGTGTCCATCTGAGCTTGACCCCAGATACCAAGAAGTCAGGATGAGGGTTTCTCAGTGTGTGTGTGTGTGTGTGTGGGGGGGGTGCTCCTAGGAACCCCCCAATCCTACCATGAGCCCAAGAAATGCTTCCCTCTCTAAAGATGGCAGTTTCATTTGACATTGGAGAGTCCTTCTCCATTAAAACACGTGTTATAAGCAACCTAGAAGTGGTTAGGAGTTAAGGAAGAGAAGTCTGCAAGTTGCATGTGTATGCGCACGTGCCAGAACGTAATTCCGAAACACAAAATAGTGTGTCTGATGGTTTGTGGCTCACTCACACACACTGGTGCGCTGCACACCAATCCCGGACAGTGGCCACTTTGGAAAACAGACGATGGGCGGGGGGAGGGCATGAGCTCTTCCCAAAGGATTTAATTTCACAAAAGAGAAATGTGAAGCAAACCTAACTTTTCAATCATGATGCCTGGTATGTTATTTTCAGGAATGGCAGGGACATTTGAAACATTTTGTAATTAGAAAGAAAACAAACCATACAACAGTTGCAAGCATTACTAAAGTGTACCAGCACCAAGAACCTTGGTTTTCTGATCACCACAGGGTTCCAGAGACAGGAAGGAATCATGGTCTGTGTTCTCGATGGGAAAAACTCATGAGCCAACCCCCCAAGCTAACCGATTCACTGTAAACCTAGTAATTCCAGCGGACTCCAAGTTATTCCTCTAACCACATCCCTTGGCTCATGTGTATTCTGAAATGGAAATGAAGAAATCGGGGAGACTCGTGTCCACGTGGCCCAGGGCTCGGCTCAGCAACCCCCTCCACTGAACTACACCGCTAGCCGGGAGATGAGCCTGAGGAACAGAGCCCAACCAAGGGCTCCAGATCCATCACCAGCGAATGGGTCCCTGACCCCAAGAAAGAATGACCTGGAGAGAAGAAAGTACCTACCTCCCTGCAAACACATTCCCACCAGGAGCCTGTGCCTGACCAATGAGGGGGGCAGTGAGCATGTCACCCTACAAACCTATGATACTCAAACTCCCGCAGCCCTCTTTGTCGATCCTGATCTCCCGATCTTGAGAACGTGCTTTGGGATCTCCTGCCACATCAGAAAATCGGGTAGCTGAAGGAGACGGTGTCTTCTCTCCATGGAGCCAGCCCGAGGGTACCTTTCTGAACAGAATGAATTAAGGACGCGGGTTCTGGACCCAGAATATCTGGGCTGTCCCACCAGCTCCACAGTCTAGGAGCTGTGCGATCGTGGACAAGTCAGTTAACCTGCCTGTGCCTCAGGCTCATCACCTATACAATGGGAGAGCAACGGTATCTTCTTGGAGTCATGGGGAAGATTAAGTAAGTCCCTACGTGCTTAGTGCTTGTGATCAAGCCCCCTGAGGATCCAGAGGCGCTCCCTTCTAGCGATTTTGGGAAAGATGAGGGAGGAAAAGGGAGGGAGGGACAGAGCGAGGGAAAGAGAGCGGGCATCTTCTGGGTAACGGGCCATCCAGCAACATGGGGACAAGCAGTGTCTTTGGAAGAAGAGACAATGGAATTCTGGGCCCCAGCGCTCTGGGACTCTCTGACCCCTGTCTGTCACCATCTGTCATTCATCTGCTTCCTCACCCCTGAAAGGTACAGAAATACCCCCCTGCAGGAGGACCGGGGGCTTGGACGGGGACACTCTGAGGCATGGGGCCGGGGGCCCGACACACAGAAAGGGTTTCGGAAAGGTAGAATTTTTCACGGTTAGGTCCAACGACAAGGACGAGTCACTTCCATCACTGTATCCAAACTGCAGGGATAAGAGACCATATTATTTGATGGCCACGCAACAAACTGAGACACAAACAGCAAGACCAGAAAGCAAAGGTGGTAGAGCTCTAGCTGGTGAAAATGTAACATTCTTCTGAATTTGGCTGAAATTAGCTAGAAACTGCAAATAGCAAGATTATCTAGAATGTGAAAGAAACAGAATAGAAAAAGTATCTACAACATGAGAGAAATGAAAACACAAAAAAAGTCAGAACTTGAGGAACATGGTAAAAAGCGGTGGTGTGAGTTCAAATAAACACCTGGTGGGTCAAATATGCATGTGTTTATTTCTTAAATCTGGGGCCAAAGAAAAAAGGGATTTAAAAAATATCTATCGAGAAAGGAAAAGTCTTTCTAAGCCAGCCACAAAACCCAGAACTTGTAAGGGGAAAAGATGGTTCTACAAAAAAACAAAAACAAAAACAAAAACAAAACAAAAAAAAAACCTCAAGAAGAAAACAAGCCAGAGAGAGAGAGAAAAGAAAGAAATAGAAAGAAAAAAAAAGTTAAATGATACACGGCAACCTAGGAAAATTATTTTCAGTTCAAACCATAGAAGGTTAATTTTCCTGACATATAATTAATCTTTGCCCATCAATCCATCAGAATAAGAGAAACCAGGGGAGCAGAGAGGAGTTCATCAGTTCACAGAAAAAAGTCACAGAGGACATACAGAGGTCTATTTTTAAAAAGCTCAAATTCACTCAAAAAAGAAACGTGAATTGCCAACAAAATAGTGTTTCTCATCAGACAGCTAGGATGTCAAAGTCTGGTCTCACGCAGTGCTGACCAGAGTTCAGGGAACGGGCACCCTCATGTACCCCTGGTGGACACGCCTCTCTGGAGAGCAGTTTGGAAGCAGCCATCCAAACCAGCACAACGCTCAGACCCAGAAACTCACATCTACGTTCTCTCCCCCCGCAGGCTGAACCTCATATACACAGTTACGGTGACAACATCGCTGAACACCCACCGACAATCTCAAAGTCCTACAAAAAGTCAATCAGGGGGATCAAGAAATAAATTCGGGTCCCATCGCACACGTGGACGCCATTCAACCATTTAAAAAATCTTATGCGCGGGAATAGATGGGCAAACCAACGTACAGGTGACGGATCAGAGCTATCTCGAAGATCTATCAGTAAAAATATACATTCAGGACATAAAACAGAAGATGATCTAATGTGTATACATTTAAATATTAAGAAACGTTTTTAAGAATTCAAACACTAGGAAATGTTGATGGCGATTATGATCCAGTGAATCAAATTTTATATTCTTACGTGCTGGTTCCAATTTTTTTTTGCCAAGCAGCAATATAACTTTACTTTTAAAATAAATAAATTGAACGAACATAAATAGGCTCTCCCCGTCCTGGGTTTCCCTTCCCAGTCCCCGGGTAAGTGTATTATGCCTTCTATTGCAGGATCTGGTTATCACCATGCATTATAAGATCTTTCAATCAAATGTTGCGTTTGTGTTACACTGTTTTCTGAGTATTTCTACACCACTGTATCGTCACATCCGGACGGTGGCTCTTTCGTTCTGTAACGAGTTTAACTGTGCCAGGTTCACCAGAAATTCAGGTGAGAAGGACTCAGGAGACCACCTGATCCAAAGCCTAATGACAGCACATGCTTTAATCCCAGAAAGCAATAAATAGCGTGCCCTTCAAATTGGGACCTTCTGAAGAAATAGGGACTAAGTTTTTGTACTGGTTCTAAGGGGCCTTTCTCCCCCTCCTTATGCATCGGCTAATTTTCACCACAAGGTGGAAGCAGAAACCAACTCACTGGGGGGAAATCTTTGTGAGAGAATCTGAAATCTGGTTCTTTCACAGAACAAAATGTCGGACTCGGGGGCGGGGGGAGGTGGCAGGGGCCCCAGATCACCATAGGCCGCCCTGGGAGCATCACTTGGTGGGGTGGTGGCACCGCTGGGTGGGCAGGTGGGGCCTGCACTTCTCCTACGGGCTCCTCGCAGGGACAGAGCCCTGAGTCCTGGGCGCGTAGAGGAGTTTGTCCACCTCCTGACCCGAGGTCCAGGGCAGCGCCCCCCCCACCCCGCCCCCCAGTAGGGCCTGGACACAGCACCACAGCCCCCCACCCCAGCCTGGTCCTTGGGATGCACCTCCCTGGGCACCCCACCTCGCAGGCCTCCCCGTTCTGTGCCTCCGAGGCCCGGGTGAGGAGGAGAGAGGCAGGGCGCCCATGACCACACTCACCAGCCTGTGTGGACTTCCTCCGCGCCTTCTTGATGTCCTCCTCCGTCTTGTTGCTCAGCTTGATCTCCAGCTGCTGGGTCTTCATCTCCAGGTCTCTCTGCCGTTCCGTGAGGGCCTTCCGGGCCTGGGGTCCAACGACACAGGGAAGCTGCTCACGCGGCTCCGAGCCGGGAGGGCCCCGCGAGTTATGTGGCCCGGCCTCCCCTTTACTGGGTAAGAGGCCTCTCTTCTCCCCGTGTTCGTGGATCTTTTTCCCCAGCAGTGCTGAGCAGATGGCGGCACCAGCCACCCCATTCCAGGGCCAGAGGGGCCCTCGGTGGCAGCAGCGGGCCAGGTGCTGTATGCGCCCCCCGCCCCGTCCTGTACCCCTCCCCATGGCACTGGGGTCAGCAACAGCTCCCAGCCAGGTCGGACCTCCCAGGCCTCTGGCAGGGGGGTGACTCCGTCAGGAGGGAATCTGCCCAGTGGGGTCCGGATCAAGGGCCACGTGTGGACCAGCACATGGGCCGGCAGGCCGTCCCACAGAACCCACAGAAGCGTGGTATACCTCATCTCCCACCTGGGGGTCCCACTCTATCTCCCACTGGCCCTCCGGCAGTGACCCGAGTGCCCTGGGGAAGCAGCTGCTACCTGCCCTTCGCCCGGGGCCGGGGCCAGGGGGCCGGGGGGCCGGGGCTGGGGGGGGGGGTCTTCCGGTGTGGGCTGGAGGCTGGCACGCACCGCCCCCCAGCCCAACCCAGCCACACAGGGACAGAGGCCTCTGCCCTGGCACCGGAGCCCTGCTGGGGCCCGGCCCACCCCACGCCAGCAGGCCCGGCCTCCCAGGGCCCTCACCTTCTCCACCGCGGCGTAGCGGCTGACCAGCTGCTTGCGGAGGTCCGCGATGTGGTGGTCACACTTCTTCATGTCTTTCTTGAAGTTTTCTCGGAAATTCATCAGGGGCTTCTCCACCTCGCTGTGCAGCTGTTGGGCGGGGGGGTGGGGGACATGCTCAGGACCCCGGGGCGTTGGCGGCGAGAGGAGGGAGGGGCATTGCCCCCCACTCCACGGGTGAGCATGGGGCGGGGGGCAGAGGCCTGGCCCAGCCGACAGGAGGGAAGTCACAAGCGGCCACACGTCAGGTCTCAGGCTGGGGGGGCCACCTTAGCTGGCTAGACCCCAGGATTCACAGCAACGGACTGAGGGCTTGGTGCCCAAGCCTTTCTGAGCCCTCCGTCGGCTGCCCTCCTGACTCCCCCAGGCGCCCGTAGCCGCTCACAGGACTTTACTCACGTCCCAAGCTGACGTTGCTTACTTTCCCCAAACTGGGATTTTTCTGGGGGCAGAAACCAAGCCACCATCTCCACGATCCCCAAGCACTGAGCACAGTGACTGCCACAGGCTTGCCATTTCATTAGATGAGCTCAGGTCAGTTCTATTCGCTGCACATCTGCTATGGGCCAGTGCCCAAAGCTACGAGGATGGTCTGGACATGGCCCAAGGCTCGAGGAAGCCACGGAGGGAACGCCGAGGCCGGGAGAAGCAGGTTCACCTGCCCTCCGCCCCGAGGGAACCGGTCTTGTACTCTGAGAGCCAGAGAGGCGCTGGTTTTTCAAGCTCTTTCCTTCTCTTGTATGCTTTCTCTTTTCCCTACTCCACTCCCTGTTGAAGGAGAGTTTTTACAGATCAGTGTGGACCTGCTGAGGTCAGAGCCAGATGAGCGGCCCAGAGCCCAGCTGACTTGGGCTCTCAGACTCAGCCTCCCGGAGCCCGACTCAGCCTCCCGGAGCCCCCCGACTCTGCCTCCTGCAGCCCCCCGACTCAGCCTCCCGGAGCCCCCCAACTCAGCCTATGGACCCCCTGACAGCCTTCCAGGGCCCCTCGGCCTGCACTTGTTCCCAAAGCGCCTTTGGGAAACACACCTGAACTTTCCTGAACACAGGACCTCCCAACACGGGTTCTAGGACTTCTCTCTCTTCCTCCTCACTAGGCTCTTGCTACATTTATCTTTTTCTCTGGAGACCCCAGGACTTCAGTGTTTGTAGTTCTAAACCACCAAATACAAGTGACTGTGAGCTCCTGCTCTCCGAGAGGGCAGAGGCCCCTCTGGCTTTGCCCTGCCGTGTCCACAGCATTGGTCAGAGCCGGTGCAGGGTGGGTGCCCCTTTGACTACCTGGGTGAATGACAAAATCTTCAGTGTCCGATGCCTGGGAGAGAAGTGGACACCTTTTGTTGTTGGATGACCTTCAAAGGCTAATAGAGCGCAAGCCAACCAACACCCCCCTCCCCCTGATGTGAGTTGTTAATGCCTCCTATTTTCCGAGCCCCTAGAAGTGCCTTGCATAGGAAAACACCCCCACCTGGTGGCAACCTGCAGGATGCTACACACTTGGGAGCTGCCAGAGCACGCAGGTCCCTTTCCCATATAGGTCAGATGTTGGTGGAGAAGCCGCATCACTTAGCTGCTGTGGAAAACTGCTCCTGATCGGGGGGTTAATGAGGGTGAACTCAGCCTGTTGACTCGGTAACTCGGGGGCTGCTTCCCGAGGGCCTCCTAGGAATTGAGTTGATTTCCAGACTTCCATGTGCCCGGGAGCTACCCAGAGGGTCTTTTCAACATTTAGGATTCCTGGGCCCCAGTCCCAGGTTCTGTGGTCTGGGGAAGGGCCCAAGAACCTGCCAATACACCAAAATGTGTCCCCCAGATTCCAGATGACTTTCTGGAAACATAATGCTACTCGTTGTCACAGGCATGCATTCCTATAGATAGAGACACATGGGTTCTCCTGTATCTTAAGGGTCTTTAAAAGACTAATTGTTTCTTTTCTTTTTTCTTTTTAAGATTTTATTTTATTTATTTGACAGAGACAGACAGCGAGAGAGGGAACACAAGCAGGGGGAGTGTGAGGGGGAGAAGCAGGCTTCCCGCCGAGCAGGGAGCCTGATGCAGGACTCGATCCCAGGACCCTGGGATCACGACCTGAGCCAAAGGCAGACGCTTAAAGACTGAGCCACCCAGGCGCCCCGAGACTAATTGTTTCTTTAAGAACACGGGCTGGGTGTCTTTTTCTACGTGTTCTTCATGGCCGAGCATCTTTGCCCAGGGACAGAAGGCATCCCAGATGCTTGTCCTTGTGACCTCCTGAGCGGGCCCGAGAGTAGTATAATCAGCTTAGCATCAATGTAGGGTCAGGACCCCCTTTTGGATGAGAAACAGAGAGTACCAGAGTGCATCTTAGGTAAAAGGACAAGGGCGGCTTCGGGAAACATTTGTCTTGGCAATGCATGTACGTATCTGTACGTGGCTACGTGGGTGCAGGCACCTGCGTGTTCTGGCTACCCATGGAAAATGCGTGACTGGGGGTCCCAGCCGAAGAAGTTTTAAGCCACTGATCTGGTCCAAACGTTTCACTTTACACATGGAAAAGAAAAAAAAAAAAAAAAGGAAGCCGAGAGATGCTAAGACTCGCCCCAGGTCACAAAGCTTCTTAGGGAATGAGCACTGATAGAAAACTCATGTCTCTTGACTCCCACGGTCTCCCTAAAATCTTCCGTCTGCATGCGCGGCCTCTCCTGCATGATGAGATTTCTCTTCCACCAGAAAGAAATTTTCTATTTTCCCTTCCCCAGCTGAAGCCAGGTCTCACTTCCTTTGCATACAGCAATCTTATTTCTTTAACAGCCTGTCGCCACGAACGGCGGCTGGAACCAGGAGATGAGCAAAGCCTGAAAGATTGCCCTGACAAAATTGCATTTCTTAAGGAGCTCTCACCCCCGACACGGAACATTCAGAGTGGAATTTCAACGAGCCCCCTGGAAGCAGACGCTAAAATGGGTTTCAGGCATATGGAGCCATGTAATCACAGCAGATGAATAAATAAATCCTCGGCGCCCCTTCGCCTTCGAGGAATCACTGTCCTCCCACGGGGCTGCTACTCTCGTTCCCTAAGGCCGCCAACACTGACGACAGGCTGGGGGCATCAGAAGCTCTGAACATTTGTCACAAGTCCTCCCCATCAGCCACATGGTGAAGTCCTCTGTGCTTTAAAGGCCACTGGTCTGCCCAGAGAGAAGTCTGGGCTGGGGGGCAAGTCGCCACTTGACTGATTCTTGCCCTTTGCTTCCTCCGGAGCAAAAGCCTGAGGCTGCATGACCATGAGCTGCGATGGAGCCTGTCTGTGAGGCTCATTTGTGAAATGCAGATGCTGACTGGCAAGGTGACTGATAAAACCAAGGCAAAGGAGTTATTCCTTGCACAGAACCTTCTAGAACGCTTACACACGGGGAGACCCTGATACAACAAATATGTACCTTGGCCTTTGTCCCTGGCTCCCGGCCAGAACTCCAGAAAACGTTGTAATCTCCCAAGTGGTAGGGGGGGCTAGGAGCACCTTTTGTGCCAATATTTGGTCTCTGACCCCGGTCCCTGACACAGAACTCCTAAATCCCTTGGCATTTCCAGGATGACAGGAGCATCTTTGGTTCTAATGAGGTGACCTTGGTGGTCTCCTGGAGAATTTCAGGATGGGGGCTGGTCACCAGAAAGCCCAAGTCATGATTAGAAGCTTGAAACTTTCCGCCTCTCCTCCATCCCCTGGGGAAGGAAGGGGACCCGGAGATTGAGTTAATAAGCAATCATGCCCACGTGATGAAAATCTACAAAAACCTATAAATAATCGGGTTTGGAGAGCTTTTGGGTTGGTGAGCACCCCAACTCCATGGGGACAGCAGCTCTTGCGCTCAGGACTCTTCTGGACCTCGCCCTATGTACTCCTTCATCCGGCTGTTCATCTGTATCCTTAATGATGTCCTTTAATGTAGAATAAACTGGTTAAATCTAAGTACATGTCTTCCTAAGTTCTGTGAGCCATTCAGCAAATTATCAAAGGGAAGGAGGGTGTCGTGGGAGCTCCTGATTTGCAGCTACATCAGACAGAAGCGTGGGTAACCTCAGAACCCACCACTTGCAACGGACATCCTGTGGGATGGAGCCCTTCATTAGTGGGACCTGAGCTGCACCTGCTGAGCACCCTGGAAACAATCAAGACCGGGGGGTCATGCTGATGAGCAGCAGGTGCCACCAGGCTTCGTGGGGACCCAGCAGGTGACCTTTCAGAGGTTGCAGACTCGGCTCTACTGCACACGGGCAGCCTCCCCCGTCCCCCTCCCCCATCAATGGAGGCTTCTGCCTCCACAGAGGGCAGAGTCAGGACGTGAGAAGGGAGGCCTGAAGGGAACACTCTCCGATCGGCGGCTTGAAAATAACTCACTGCTTTGCACAAGGCAGGAAAAAAACGCCTCATGGAGCCCCCTCCCCACGCGCAACCGGCAAGTTTCCCGCAAAGTGCTCGGTGGCTGGGTTACGGTCCCACTGTGAACCCTGAAAGTCTCACTCATGGCTGAGTCATCAGTCAACCCAATCTTGGGGCACCAACATCCTTCAGAAGCAGGGAGCTCCCAACAGCACTGTTTCTTCCTCCCACCCCAGATCTTTATAGAGCTGCTCCGTGGGTCCCAATCATTTGGGCCCTCTGTGTGCAGGGTCGGGGGGCCCATCACGGGACGAGGTGGTGAGACTTGTACAAAGCTGGATTCCTGTCCTCCAACAGCGCACATCCCATGGGGACCCCAAAGCCCAGAACGGCGATTCAGATGAGGAAAGCTCTGGAGAACAGATGGAACCATGAGCTCAGAGTGTGGGAGTCAGGGAGGAGCAGCCGCCTTTGGGAGATGCTACCTTCCTACGGTAGTTAAGGAGGCAGGGTGCCCTCCAATTTCAAAACAGGGGCTCAGAGTTTAAGTGCTTTGCCCAAGTGCCCTGTCGGACTGCTGTGTCTGACTGGGGACAGTGGGGAGAGCGTGGACCCAGGAGACAAAGGTCCCTGAGAATGGTGCTACTCTCAAGGGGTCTCTCTTCCTTTAAAAGGTAGCCCTATCAGTCATGCACACTTTAGTATGAATTAATTCATTTAGACACTGGGTTTATTTTTTCCCCCTGAAGAGTAGGTGAGAGCCTGAGATGGAATTTGGAGATACCAGCTAGGGAGTGGGGAAGAGAGGGTCATTTGGAAACATGGAGAAATCCTGAGAAAAAGGAGGCTTAAAAAGACGGGGGTGTTGGAAGGAGCTACTCAGTTGTCCCTGGTTCATTTACTACTTTGGAAAACATTCATCGAGCATCTACTGTGCCCCAGACACTGCCCTGAGTACTAACGGCAGAGTGAACAGGACAGAAACCATGCTGTCCTCAAGGTCACAGACCAAACCAAACCAACAGACTCTCCCTGTGGCACAGTCTAGCCTCTCCCGACAGCATGAAGAAATAGAACATGCCCGCAAGGTCCTCTGAAAGCCCAGTGAAGGAGAGTGGGGGCCTCACAGACGTGTGCCGGGGCGGCTAGGAAGAGCCGAATGATAAATTTGTAGGAATTTTGTGAGTTGGTTGTTAAAGATGGCCAGTGTTGAAAATGCAATGATCCACCCTTAGTAAAATTATATTAAAAACAAAGGTAATAAAAACTTATAACTACTAGCACTTATGAACCTTTTATGATTCTCCGAGCGGCTGAGGGACTTTTACACCTCCTTAGGCTACTTTGTGGGGACGGTGGGCGCCCTGGCTGATGGCTGCTTTTGTGCCTCTCTTCCTCGCACTGGAAACCTACACCATGGACCACGGAAAGAGGCTGACGGGACACACCAGAGAGACCACCTCGAGCCGCTCAGCGGCACACGGCTGTGCAGGGCCAACCCAGAGAGGCAGCGGGGCCGGCTTACCTTGGCGGAGAACTTGAGATGGACTTCTGCCTCATCCGCGAGGCTCTTCTTCACCTGGGCCCACGCTTCTCCCAAGGAGCTGCAATACGAGGGAGAATGTCAGACCCAGATCGGAGATCTCGGCCCCTCCCTGGGCGGACAGCGGGTCTCCACGTGAGCCATCCCAAACCGAGCTGAGGATCTCAGGAGCTGAGGGGGGCAGTGGTAGCAGAGGCTGGGGAAACATCTGGAAACTCAGAGAACCGGGAGAGATGCAAGAGGAAGGTGGGGTGCAGCTGGAGGGTGGGCCCGGACACCTGCCTGTTACTGTCCCCATGCTTCCTGGCGCCCATCCCTGTTCATAGATGGGCAGTGCAAGGGCTTGCTGGTCTATCAAGGAAGAAGGCCAGCCACCTTTTCAGGGAGAAGCCCTTCGCAAACAGAAGGTGCCACATAGCCCTGCCCCCTGCCAAGCACCTCCGCGGGGGACATAGGATGGTCTTCTCCACAAATGGTCAGTATACCCACAGGGGAAAAGAAAGAACCCTCGACCCTAACCTGATGCCATACACGTGGATTATCTCAAGATGGATCACAGATCTACAGTGAGAGTGGGCACCACGCAAAAGCAGGCCTAGCAGGAGTGGGGAACTCGAAAAAAGGCCAACAGAGAAGGTCTGTCCCGGCAGCCAAGCTACACACGAGCCTACAATCCAGAGCTCGGAAGCCAAAAAGGCCCCGGGGGGTGCTGAGTCTGTGAGGCTACGGTCAGCAGGGCCATGGTCAGTAACTGGTCCCGGGCAGCTTTAGTGGCCTGAGAATGTCACCTGGGTGCCGCTGTGGGGAAGGAGGAAGCCCAGTGTCAGGCTCAGGACAAGGTCCAAGGCCCCGCCCCCAGGCTAGGCACTCACAAGTGGGCGGACCCCGCTCCAAACACTCCCATGAGTGCATCTGAGCGAGCACACTCCCCCGTCCGCCCCTGCTCCCCCAACCCCAGAACTCCAGGCCCCCTGGAATTTAGGGGAAAAAAAAAAGGCAATTTAGAAAAGAAAAAAAAAAGCAACTTAGGGAAGAAAAAGCAATTTAGAAATTCTCTCACTTGAAGACAGATTTTTTTCATCTGGCGAGAGGTTAATGAAAGAAATAAAACCTGAGATATATTTCCATCGCAATATGCGGTCTGAGGCATGCCAAATCGAAATGCACGCCCTGTCACCATTACCAACGAAAAACGGGCTCAAAAGGGCCCAAATCCCATTTCCTTTCCACGCAGGCGAGAGAAATGGAAGATGGAATAAATAAGCAGTGCACATACCCTCCCGAATGGAATTTGGGCGCAGCGCCCGATGCCCCGCCCCGTGCCACCAGCATCTTCCCGGGCTGCCCCGAGGTTCTAGGCTCTAGCACTGTGCTTGAAAACTGCAAGGTGCACCCCGCTAAGGTCCAAAGCTGTGTGCAAATGCAAAACAGCACGGCTGCACGTCGGGGGTGGGGGTGGCATCCGCGTTCACAAACCCCAAGGGAGCCTGCTGGGACGAGTGTGTGCATGCAGCCGCGACGGGGTGCACGTTCACGACCGTGTTGCAGGGGCACGGCGTCCATGCATGCGAGGCGAGCGTGTGCTGGGCTGCCCAGATCTGTTAAGTGCATGTGTGTATATGGCGTGGTGGCACAGGCCTGGCTCGTGCAGCTGGGAGCATATGCTGAGCCTGTTGGCAGGATGCAGTGTCCCTGGCAGCAGCCCAGGCCGAGGAGGTGGAAGCCGGAAGATCCGAGAGCAACACTGCGTTTGTAGGGCGGGGGGATGTCCAGGAAAGCCTCCATGCCAGGGCGGAGGGGTGACCTCCCCCCGCCGGCCGTGTCCCCCACTTCCTACCCGCTGTCTTGGGGCCCAGTGTGCAGGGCAGAAAAGGGCCACCGGGTCAGTGGCAAACCACAGAGGGGCGGCCTCTTGGCTGCTCGGCGAGCCCACGCAGAGAGGCCTGAATCAAAGCCACCCTGGGCTGGCACGGCCTGTCCCTTGAAGGCTTCAAGCCGCGCAGGGGGATTTGGACTTAACATCGCCGCCCTCCGACGACCACAACCACCCACGACAGGACATCCACCATCCTCGGGGCTCATTTCCCCTTGCAGGAGGGGTTCCAACACAGCCTGCCCCGGAGGGAGGGAGGCACTGGGGAGAAGACCTCGGGGGACCTTTCAACTCTCCCCTCCCGAGTCTGGTCATCTTTATGACGGAGGCAAAACTCAGGTTATGTAAAATTAACTGTTTTAAAGAGAACGATCCCACGGCGTTTAGTACATTCACCATATTGTGCAACCACCACCTCTATCCTGGTCCAAAACATTTGTATTCCCGTTATGGACCCCCCAAATTCATACGTGGAAGCCCTAAGCCCCGCACCCCAGTGTGGGCCCCCAAATTCATATGTTGAGGCCCTAAGCCCCCACCCCAAATTCATGTGTCCTTCCCAAATTCGCATGTTGAAGCCCTAAGCCCCCCACCCCAAATTCATATGGTGGTGTCCCCCCAAAGTTACATGTTGAAGCCCTAAGCCCCCCACCCCAGTGTGGCTGTTATTTGGAGATAAGGGCCTCTAAGGAAGTAATTAAGGTCAAATGTGGTCAAATGGGGTGAGGCCCTGATCCAGTAGGATTCACGTCCTTATAAGAAGAGACTCCAGAGAGTCTGCTCTCTCTCCACACCGAGGGAAGACCATAGGGAGAAGGCGGCCATCTGCAAATCAAGAGGAGCGCTCTTGCCAGACCTCAACCCTGCTGTCTGGACACTGGGATCTTGGACCTCCCAGCCTCCAGAACCAGGATAAATTACATTCGTGTTGTTGAAGCCGCCCGGTCTATGGGATTCTGTTGCAGCAGCCCAAGCGGATGAATATACACCCCAAAAAGGAAACCTCGAACCCATGAAGCTGTTACCCTCCATTGCCTGCTCCCCTGGCCAACCACCCACCTCATTCTGCCTCCGTGGGTTTGCCTATCTGCACATTTCATATAAATGGAACCCTATCAAGTGCAACCTTTTCATCCCACTTTTTCCACTTAGGATAATGTTTCTGAGGTTCATCCACATGGCAGCCCGGATCAGGACCGGATCCCTATTTATGGCGAAATAATATTCCATCACATATCCATGTATCAGTGCAGATGGACACAATTTGTTCATCCACCCATCCCTTGATGGACATTTGGGTTGTTTGCATGTTTTGGATACCATGGATCGTGTTGTTATGAACACGTGGGCACATGTATTTGTCTGAGTATCTGTTTTCAATTCTTCTGGGTCTAAACCTACGAGCGGAATTGCTGGGTCGTTCGGTAATCCCGGTTAGTGTTCCGAGGCACTGCCAAATTGTTTTCCACGGTGGCCGCACCATTTTACATTCCCACGGCAGGCTGCAAGTCTTTGTCAAGAGATGAACAGAGAAGCCTTAAGTCTTCCACCACTAGGGACCCCTCTGTGGTTGGGAGGGTGGGGCTGAGCCTCCCCCAGCCCAGGCTAGACCCAAGGAGGTCTGGGCCACTGCAGCTGGAGAGGGAGGGGAGCCTGGGCTTCGGGCCCATGGGAGAGGATTCTAAACAAGGGCCTGGGTCCAGAATCCTCTCCCACCCAGTGTCTCACCAGCCTGCTCTCAGAGAGAGGGGCACTGGGTGAGTGTCTGGGGGCCAGTGTCTAGCTACCAGGGCACAGGGCAGAGGGGGTGGGAGGCCCTTGGTCACTAGAGAGAAAATAATGTGGATGTGCCCACTTGGAGCCAGGCCTATGCAGACTTCCCCATTTCAGTGGACCATGGCAGCAATCAGGGATCAGTGAGGAGGAACCCCGCCCTTCCCATCTGTGGTTCCTCCCCATTTCTGTCACGGTCCTCTGCACTCACCCTTCCTCCTGAGCAGCCAAAGAGTTCTGAGAGAGCTTAGCTAGGTTTTTTGCGTATTCCTCTTCGATCTTTATCCTGCAAAGGGAGAAAACCCCACACGTCAGCTCTCCAGCGCCAGGCCGTGGGTCTGACCTGCAGTCCTAGCGCTTACTGATCGTGGAAAAGGAACCTACTAGACCACACGCCCTTAGAGGTCGAAGCCCTTGTCTGTGCACCCAACACACAGCAGGTGCTTAAAAAGTCTTCGTTGGTTGGACGAACTTATGTGAATCTCTGTCTTTTCACCTGTAAAGGGGTATTTCCACCTGTCTCCTGGGGCCGGGAAGAAGTGCTCTCATTCACACTCAGCTCCTAGTCCAGGGCTGGACACACGGGAGGCCTGTAGACCAAGACGTAACTCATGATGGACCATCGGGACACCCGGGGCTGCCTCCCTTCCGGCCCCAGCACTCGGGGCCTAGACCCTCCAACGTGGTGACAGCCCCTGGGAAGCAGGAAAAACACCTCCCCCTGCGGCCTCCCCGCCTCCCTCCCCCCTCCCCATGCCTCCAACTGTCAAGCCAGCAGGACACAAGTATTTCCATGGAAACCAGGCAGTGCCCAGAGCTGGGACTGATTCCATTTCCCTAGAGAGGGAAGTGGCCTTGGATTTTGCCTCCAGCAGGCGGGCCCTTGACACACTTTCCAGGCAACCCTCTGGGGGAGTGTTCTGTATTATCTGGCACATCGTGTTCGAGTCTTGTCAAAGGCAACGCTCACCGCCTGACTGGTCCTCTGGGGCATGCTGGGACACCCAGGGCCACCACTTTGAAGCCCCGGGCCCATCACTCAGCAAACGGGAAGGCCCTATAGAGATACTCCGGGGGCTGCAGCACCTGTTCCTGGCCGCTGGGAAGCTGATGGCCCACGGGTGCAGTGATACGGAACGGGGGGCCTGACGGAGCCCCCTGGCATCATTCTGAGTAAGATTTATTTTCTGCTTTGCCCTGAGAGACCCACGGCCACGTTCCCTCTCTCACGGCTCTGCCCTCACCGCCACCTCTGGCCGGGTCCCTCCGTCACCCCCTTGCCATTGCTCTGCCCTCCCCAGGGTGACCTGGGCGGCCAGTGTGCAGCCCCCAGCCCGCGGCCAACACGTCTCTCTGGAAAGCAGATCCAAGCGCTCCTAGCTTCACACCTCCAAAACTCCTTGATGCCAACCGCACACGCCAGGCACACGGCCGGCCTGTCTCTGGAGAGAGCACCGGCATCCCCTCCGGGCCCTGCCCAGCTGCCCTACACAGGGGCCACGGCGAACGCCCCGGCCCCAGCACACTCCACCTCCGCTCTCACCTCTCCCGGCTCGGGAAGGCCTCCCGAGAAGAGTCTGCGTGGCCCACGGAAGGCCAGTGTGTTCTCAGGTGGCAGATCCCATTTATCTGCTCACACGACATTTTTATGAAAGGACACCACCATACGTGTGTTCAAACTCTGACTCTATGGCCATTTTTCCTACCCACCTGCTTTATACCACTATTAGCACGCACCTGAGCTACACATCCTCTCCACTCCCTACCAGCGTAATGGCTCATTAGATAGAGATCTGATTACACAAACAGAAAATGGACCTCCGAAGGAAAAGAGGAGGTGCTTTAAAATGCCAAAGAATTATTACTACCTCATGAACATTGTCCTCTTTTGTTATGATGGGGACAGGGCTTCCAATGAGGGCCATGCAGGTAAGTCAAGGAGCTAAGCAGTCTATGTGGGGAGACAGCAGGGAGTGGCGGAGACTGTGGCAAACCAGACCTCACGCTACTTCTACGCGGTGGCCGCCACTTGGCTCCGGCCCATTGTTCTGTGAGCCTTTCTTGCTAGACTTTCGGCCTTCTCAAGACAAGCCAGAGAGCCAGCTTTTAATGGAAAATCTACCAAACCTTAAACGTACCACAGAGGTCAAAGCAACACATCTGCAGGTTAGATTTGTCCCGAGAACCACAGCTGGTGCCCCCAGCCTCACACTCCCCATGGTGCTAACCAGGCCCAGTGCTCATCCCGGCCGCTCCCCAACCTCAGGCTCAGGGGCCAAAGGGGGGGCGGTCTGCGGCCAAGGGAGCTGGGAGGGGCCCAGGTCTCACCTCTCCCGGATGAATTCTGACATTTCCTTCTGCATCTGCTTGCCCTTCAGTTGCTTCTGAAGCAGGAGCTCAAACCCAGCCACCGTGCCATTGCCTTGGGGGTCCTTCTTATCAGCCTAGAAGGGACACAGAAGCACGAGAGGTTAGGAGACAGGGGTGTCCAGAGCCACAGGGAACGGAGCGTGGGGAAGGCGGTCCCCGAAGGGACCCGGGTGCACCCCTGGCGAGCGGACCTCAGCCCAAGAGCTAGGCCGTGGCCTCTGTCCCACCTCGTGTCTCCGGCTGCCCCCCACCTTCACATGTGTGCTGACGCTTGAGCCCTGCAGCCACTGACACCGGCCCCCCGCCCACGTCCATGGCCCTCGGTTCTCCCAACCTGGGAAAGAAGAGGAGAAAGGGCAAGTGGCCAGGAGTATAGGCTGCCGATGCCCAACACCTCCTACTTCCAGCCAGGTAGCTGCTGAGGCTGGTTGGAAGCTCCAGGGAGTCTTGGTGGCCTGACACTGAGCTGGGACAGTCTGTGGCCTTGGGGGCAGGTGACCCTAGCCGTAAGCCCTCCCGTCGCCTGTCAGCCCCCTGCACCAGCCAGGCCGTGGTATCCTCTCACACACATTCACATAAGACCACGGGGGCGTCCGGGCGAGACCAGACTGAAGGGAGGCCAGAGTTCTGGAAAAGGGCAGGGTGCCAGGGTTGACATCCCAGCTGGGAAGCCTCGGGTAAGCTCTCCACTTGGTCCAAGCCTGAGCAGCTTCATCTGTGAAGCTGGGGAATACTGGCGCCCACCTCCTATGGTCATTTCAGGATAAGCGGCCTCTGGAAACGGCTTAGCACAGTGCTGGCCAGACACTAAATGCTCGGTAAGTGGTATCTGATATTAGTCAACTTTTAAATAAATCAGGACTCGGGGAAGATGGCCAAGTCAATGAAATGGGAGCTCAGTACTGGATCCATTTTGCAAGCAAATACTCTCAAAATTTCAAAATTGAATGTTCTCTTTTGTTTTGCCTGCACTTCCTCCAGGACATCTGAATACCTCTTCCCTGCCCGGCAGCCCTAGGTTCAGCCTTCCCTGCAGGACATTCATCCCGGCGTCTGCCCACATGGCTCTCAGAGACTTCGCAGCCCCAGGCCGGTACCCCACCTAAAGCTATGTTCTCCCCCATTACAGCCCTTCCCCACCAAGAATCCAGAGTCAGATGCTTTGGTACTTAATGGAGGGAGTTAAAAATGCATCCTTTGATTTCAGACAGGTGCATCGGTGAGGACCCTGTCCCAGGGTCCAAAAGACCTAATCCTTGTCTCGGCTCAGCCCCAGGTGACACAGTCAGGCCTTTCCAATCCTAGGCTGTGGTCCCCCTAGCTCCCCCCTTTGCAATAGGACTGGGTTGCCTCTCTAAGAACACTTCTAGAGCAGACATTTTAGGAAAAGCGAATTTTGGAAATTTCAGAAAGGGGCAGGTGATGTCTAGAAAGAACCCCATTTCCTATCATCAAGCATTTGAAAAGTTTACGGACATCCCCCGCCAACTCCCCCCACCCCAACAAGGGATCCCCTTTCCTCAGCTCTCCTGACACAAAGCCCACTGGGCCACGCTGCTAATACCTCTTGTGACAGGGAGATCACTACCCCACGGGACACACCAAGTCATGGCACAGCTGCTCTGGCCAATTAAAAGCTTCTCCAGGTATTTTTAAGATCTGTGCACTTCATCACGTAAATGCTACAACCTTGATAAAAGCAAAAGAAAAATCCCCCAGAATACGGAGCCCCAATCTGCCTCCCACAAAGGATGGGTGTGCCGAGTCATGTATCCACACTCAGGAAAACCAGCCAGAAACGGTGGGCTTGAATGACTGTGTCAGCAGGGAGATTCTGTCAGAGGAAGAGGTGGTGGTCAGGAAAATAAAACCCAGAGTAAGTAGCAGATCCCGGCAGAGCCTGAATGAGGACAGGGGTGCACAAACATCGCTCTCTTAGATGCCGAACAGTGGCGGGGCCCAAAGGCTCCCCAATGCCCCCTCGTGAAATCCCATGCACCCTGACCTCCAGCTCCTGGGGTGTGCATTCCCAGGGCACCAGCTAGTCTCCCCTGAATGCTCTGCTTCCCGCACCCCTCTTTAGGAATGACATCTGTAATCTCAGCCACTTCTCATCTCTGTGGCGGCCACCATCCTTCTTTAACTCCTGCACCTGCTGCTGATGTCCACCCCCACCCGCTCACAGCCCTCCCCGCATGATGCTTCTGAACCACATCACATCCAATTCCAACAGCTTTCTACTGCAAACAGAGGGAACCCCAGTGTACTCACAGGGCCTACAGGGTCTCGTACACTCTGACCTCTGCCGCCCGAGAGAACCTTCCTCACGATGTTTGCTCCCTGCACAGATCCCCCCGAGACCAGGAAGAAATACCAGCAGGGCCAACAGGAATCGCTGGGTATCTTCGAGAACGCAAGTGACTTGTCAACAGAACACAGCACTTCTGCCTGGTGCTTGGCTAGCAAATCTAAAAACGGGTAGCAATCCATTCTGCACGGTGGGGAAACAAACGGCTTTTATTCTGTTTATTTATTGTTCCTCGGGGTCCCTGCAAAAGTTGTTGTTTTTCTCCTAAAGTGTACAAGTCAGTGGTTTTTAGTATGTTCACAAGGTTGAGCAACCATCAGCACTATGTGAATCCAGAATGAGGTGATCTCACTTTTAAAGTCATTGCTGACTTTAAATGCGCACGCCAAGGGCTATTCCTAGAGTTTCTGCGCAGGTGGGCTGTGCATTTGTCAAAAGATACTTATTTAATTGTGGGAAAATACACATAAGATAAAATGTACCATCTTATCCGTTTGTTTGTTTCTTTTTAAGTAGGCTCCACCCCCAGCCTGGAATCCAATGCGAGGCTTGAACTCACGAGCCTGAGATCGAGACCTGAGTGGAGATCAGAGTTGGGACGCTTAACCAACTGAGCCTGCCCAGGCACCTCCACTGAAGTTGGCTTTAGGCTCTTGCCCTTACCGAGCAGCCAAGAAGTGACCCTTTTGCTTATCTGCATCCTGTCCGGGGTTTCCGTGTTGCCCTGAATGAAAATCCTGTTGATTCTCTGAGATTTAGAGAATGATCTGGACTCCAAAGAGGGTCTTAAATTCCTGCCTTGGATCCTAAATCCACCACCAGGTTTCAACAGGAGAGGACCCTCTTTTTTGAGCTCCAGACCCTTCATGCCCTTCTGGGTGTCCACTCCTGATCCTCAGGGGGGAGGGCGGGGTTGGGGATGGTCACACGGTGGGGGAAACTGAGGCACACTTACCCAGAAATAGTCACAATAGCTCCACTCGGTGGGTTTCAATAGCTGCTGTTCCAGCATCGTGTCTGGGTGTGGAAACGTCACGCAGTTTATCTGCAGGGCACAGAACAAGAAAGGAAACGCCTTGTCTGGGGGGTTGGGAGCAGCTGGGAGGGCTCTGCCCCTGGAACACAGCATTACTGAGGTTGACCAGAATGCGCACTGAAGTCCTGGGATGCTCCAGGGGCCTGCATTTCAAATGAGGAGCAACAGTACTCACACCCACCCCAGAGGGGCTGGAACCGGTCCCAACACTCTGAAGGGCAGTGTAACAGATCTATCAAAACCGCACACGACCTGAGCCCCCAAACCAGTGACTGCAATTCAAAAAGCACGCCCCACGGATGTATCTGCGTGTGCGTGCAATGATGCACACACACGGTCTTTCAGACCCATCTGTAGCAGCAAAAACACAACCCCACTGTCCATGAGCAGGGGAGTGGTTAAACAGAGCACGAGACGGGGAAGGGGGGCATCTCTGGGATTTGCATGGGCAGCAGAAGACACCGGCAGAGAGTTCTTATGTGTTAATATGGAAGGTGCAGCACGTCCTATTATTAAGTGGGGAAGAAAAAAAAAAACAAGGTGTAGAATAGTATTTATAGTATGCCTCCATCTGTGTAGAAAGAGAGGAAGAGAAGAGGAGAAAATATGTACACATTTGGTTATTTATCTACAGAATACTTCTGGAAGCTGATAACCTCGCCTCCTTCCAGAGAAAGGAACTACTCGGCCGAGACGTTACCATGTGCGTTTTAATCACCATATGTATTCTACAAAGAGAGCTGAAAGCGATCACGCAGGGTGTGTGCTTGGGGCTGGCCCTTGCCCAGGAGAGGGCAGTGCAGACATTCCTGGGGCCTGTCTCAGACTTTCCTGCCCAAGCATGTTCACGGTGTCCCAGCTTTCCCTGCCAGGTGGAAATGGTTTTACCACTGCTCTTGCTGGTGTCGCTTCAAGCCCAGGAACCGCTCCTGCGGAGCCTGTCCATTGGAGTTCTTTGTCCGTAAGCCGCACCGCGGAGCCGCCTGATGTTCGAGGCGGGAACTGTGCAGAAAACCCTGGGGTTCTGGACAGAGGCCTCAGACTCTAAAGTGAGGCAGCCGTGCACACGGGTGAGATTCCCGCCTGCACAGAAATTGCAGTTTGGGGTGAGGGTGACCGGCCTCCGCTTTGGGAAGGGGTGGGGTCTGCGGAGATCTGTGCAACGAGCAGATTCCTCTGGGCTCCCGCTAGCTGTTGGCAAGCCAGCAGGAGGAGTCCAGCGGGTCGCCCGTCAGGTGGCACAACCCGAGAGAGGCTGAAAATTGGGATGAGTGTGTGAAGCGTCTCCCATGTTTAAATGTTGGCACGTAATTCAAAGCTAATGGGAATAATAGCGAGGACAACGCCAATGACAGCACTGTGTAAGGCAAAGCTGAGTCAGGCCCAGGGGCCCCCAGCCTTGACCTTGGGGTTCAGGGGCTCACGGGCGGCTGAGTATATGTAGCACACGCATCGGCCCCCATCCTGCCCCGGCTGCCAGGGGCCCGGGTCTCGCTTGCAGTCCCGGAAGGACAGCACGGGAGAAGTCCCAGCCCAGGACAGGAGCCCCCTCCTCTGGGATACACACGCCTGGTGGCGGGAAGGGCCGAGATGCCCACTGCAGAGGGAAGCAGGGAGGGGTAGGAAAGACCAGGGGTTAGAGGTGAGGGGGATGGGGAGGATAAAGACCCATCCTCTACCACTTTGTCATTGCATCTACCACTTTGTAGGGGACACCGGTCCTTGGATGGCCTGGCCAGGGACCCCCGGGTGCCCGCCCCCTGCCTCCACCAGCTCTGGTTTGGGGATGTCTGCTCCCAGCGGGCCCACAGGGACTTCCCCAGTGCTCCTCCGAGCTCTGCACCCCCTGGTGGGCACCCGAGAACTACACGCCCGCCAGCCCCCTGGTGGGGAGGCAGTTGTAACCACTGGGAATCCCTGGGGAGCCCTTCCCTCAGGCACCCCACCAGGAGCCTTGCACATTCCCAGTCAGCATCCCAGCAGCCCCACGAGTTTCCTCCTCATTTGACAGGAGGAAACGGAAGATCACAGAAGCTTAGACTCTGAATCCGGGCTGGGCTGACAGCAGAGCTCAAACCTCAACCGCACTGCTATTCAGAGGAACGCTTGCTCGTCCACCGAACGCATGCAAACATTTCTCACGTGCCCCTCGCGATGCTAGATCTTTCCAGCACTTTGCACACATACATTTATAATTACACTTCTCACGACCGTTTAATTGGCCAGACTGTCTGCTCCATGAGGGGAGGGAGACCCTTTCCCTGCTGTTTCCCTATTCCCTGGCAAGCACAGGCCCCCGAGGAGTGCCCTGAAAGTGTTTCTTGGTGCAATGACTAAAGGCCAGAGGCGGACGGAATGGTCTCTGTCCTCAACGGTTTTGTAGCCTCTCAGGGAAGGCAAACAAGCACAGAAGTTGATTGCACGACTTTGGGATGAATCTACCACTGGGGTAAGCATGGGCGCTGGGACTGCAGGAAGGCCTGGGGCTTGGGGAAAGGAATCTGAGCGAGTTTCAGGTGAGCGGTTAGGCAGACAGCGGGTGGGAGGTACAGAGGGTTGCAGGGAGGAAAAGGGCCCGGGGTCTGAGGATGCACCCACAGCAAGGGAACGCAGTTAAACTGAGGCCGGAGGGGGACCTTGCAGGCGCGGGAGCCCCAGAAATGTCCAACAGGACAGTGACCTAACTGGGCTGCTGGTGGGGTGAGCTCTCTGGAGGAAGAACACGGACCTCGGCCACCAGGGAGCCTCCCCAGGGACTGGGAGTCGTGATGGTGGCTCCGAACCACGCAGCAGAAAGGATAAGCAGAGGAACATGAGAGAGTGTGCAGGGAGACCTCCCAGCACCAAGAAGTGAGCTCAGTTACTGTCGACCTGGGGGCGATTCTGCTCTCTCACCACCCGACCCCTACCCGGGGGCATTTGGCACGGCCAACGGGAGACATTTGTGGTTGTTACAAAATGTGGAGACATTTGTGCTTGTTACAAAATGGAGAGGGCACTGCTAATAGTCCCTGGCAGGTAGAGGTAAGCATCCCACCATGTGCAGGACCGCCCCCCACCACGAAGAGTAGCCAGCCGAAAAGATGAGCGAGTGGGGAAGCTTTCCCCATGGAAACCTCCAGGTGTGGACTCCCGTGCCCCCCTGGGGGACATTTTCCAGGTTAACACCACCTCCAGGACAAAGCCTGCCCTCCTCCCAAAGCCTCCCTGGGCAAAGCACGAGCCTCGATGGCATTCTCCTCCCCGAAAACACGGGGGACATGCTAAGGAACCGCCTTCTGCTCCGAGAAGAGCTAATAACATACCAGCCATTGCCCTAAGTGCTTTACCCGCCAGGCAGGTGCCATTATTATCCCCGTTCTACAGAGGAGCAAGCTAAGGCACAGAGAGGTTAAGTAAGTTCTGCAAGATCACACAGCTTGTGCGTCACGGGAGAGTCCGTGTCTGAAGTCAGGCAATCCGGCTGTTGTTAACTCGTGTCACGCTACCTTCCACACCCCACCCAAGGCAGGGGCTCGGGTAGGAAGGAGTGCTCTACAGGGAGCAGGAGAGGGGGTATGCCTCTCAATGACTACCGTTTGGGAGAAGTTCCGGGGCCACCCCCACCCTCGCTCCTCCTGAGATCACCGTCCGCGACCAGTAACATCTTCACGCTGACATCAACTGTTTTCTCCAACCCTTAGATACACAGAGTAAGCCCCTCTCTTCCCTGAGGCTCTGCCAGGGCCGCCCTGCACAGGGGAAGCCCAGCCCCCCCCCCCCCACTGAAACTCTCTGGGGTGTTCTAAGGGGGCTGCGACCGCCACTTAAGGCCCTGGCCATAACATCACAGCTGCTGAACACACCTGCGACCCACTCGAGCGGCCTGACGTGGGGAGTCCTGAGCGCATCCCCCGTGGCCCCCAGTCCTGGCCCAGCGCAGAGCTGGGTCCTTCACCCACCTATCTGGCAGCTGGCTCTTAATTTGCTGATGTGGGAGGGTGTGGAAGAGGAGAAGTCAGAGCAACAGGGTCTGCGGAAGCAGAAAAGACCCCAAGGGCTCACCTCTAGCCCACCGGCTCCTCCCCCCCCCCCCCCCCGCCGCGATCCAGGGCGTCCGATGCACCACAGCGGGAAGCAGAGGCTAGAGGCCCCCAGATTTCTCTTTCCAGGACAGGAGTGTGGCTTTGTCGTCATCTCCTCTGGAATCCTCTAGATTTCAACCCACCCCACGGCTGGCCCTGCCCGAAGCTTGCTCCAGGCCAGCGCCGGGAGGGGAAACTGGAATGTCAGAATTAAGTTCAATCCTGGCTCCTCAGCCCCACCTGGAAGCACCGTCCTTTGCTGCTCAGCAAGCATCTGAGCAAATGCCTGAAAACGTCTGCTCCGTGGGATCTGACAACACGGGAGATTGCTCACCCCATCCCCACTCACCTGTGCCCCGGGAGCTGGGCACGCCTCCATCCCCCAACCCCTTCCAGTGGCCCTGCAGGGTCTGCTCCCTGGGAAACTATGAGCTCTGGAGGATCAGAGCCCAGAAGGAGGGCTGGGAACAGGGCGGCAGCGGGGGCAGGGGGGCGGGGGGGTGGATATCGAGTGCTCTGTGGACAGGAAAGAACAGCAGCTTAGACGCAGGCCTTCACCCATCTCAGCCCGGACATGTGAGGGGTGTCCGGGGCCCCCTGGGCGGGCAGCCGGGCAAACCCAGCTCAAGGCCTGGGCTCTGCTCCTCGCCTGCTCCGTACCCTCTGGCCAGGCCCTCCTGCCTGTGGTTTCGCCAGCAAAAATTCCCGGAGGCTTAAGTGTTTATTTAAAACCCCTGGGGTTGTTGGTGATAATGCAAATGTCCCGGCTGGACCCCAGATCAACTAAGTGTCGGTCTAGGAAGGAACCCATCGAGGAACTTGCATTTTAAACACGTGTCCCAGAGGCTCTGGCTGCCGACTCCACTTCACAGGCTCGCTCTGAGAAGCTCTGATTTAGGTCGGTGGGAAGGCAGAGCGAAGATGAGAGGCAGGGACAGACAATGAACTGGAGAGGAGACTCTGACCAAGTGCCAAGCTCTGGCCCAAAGCCAGGGCACAGCAGGTGACTCGGCCCCCCCCCCCGGGGCCCCCAGGACCATCCCCATCAGCCAAGTGCCTTCCACTTTACATTTGTTCTTTTCACTTTTCTTCTACAATTCGAATATAATACCGCCCTCCCCTTCTTCTCCCTCTTTCTGCCCTGTTTCTGGGAATTTTAGGGGGCTCCCACTTTGCCTCTGGGGCATTTTGTGGCCCTTTGGAAATGAGGATGATGCCCCCGGGAGGTCTGCCCCTGGTGCCGGCTCACGCCCTGCCCCAGGCCCTGTGCTCCTCCACAGGCAACCTCCACAGGCGGGGAGAGCACAGGTCTTGAATCCTGATGCACCCCAGCCAGGCGAGGCATGGCTGCCTGCCTCAGTTTTGCCATCTGTAAACAGGGTCGAGAAGATGAGTGAGCACTGAGCGCTTACTACATGCCAGACTCCGTTCTAAGTGCTTCCGCCATACAGACTCATTTAGTCCTCACCCCACCCCCAGGGCATAGACACCCACCGTCTCCCCATTGTACAGATGTGAACACTGAGGCACAACGGGGCAGAGAAACTCGCCCCGGGCTTCTGTGCTGCCAGGAGGTGTTTTAACAGACCCTCTGGCTCCAGAGCCCTTGTTCACAGCCACCACGTGAAGTTGGTCCTGTCACCTCCACCGCACACAGCGAGTGGAGAGCTCAATGAGCCACTCAGAACACTACCGGTGCATACTCAATGCACACCAAAGGGGCAACAATTATTGCTGATGTCACTGCGTACCCAACCCTCTCTCTTCTTCCAGAGCAGGATTTTCAGCCTGCATGAGCCAGGGAAGCATACCCATTCTCGGTCTCATGTCCATGGGGGTGGTCAGAGTGGCTCAGAACGGCCCCTACTGGAGCCTGGGGGAGCAGGTCCCCCATTTCCAGCTCCCCTGCACTCGCAACCAAGCAGCACACCCAGAACCACACTTCTCACATCTCTAGTTCTTGCAGCTGGAGCAAGGCATTTGCCCCCTTTCCCCAACACAGGGCTGGAGTATGTGTGTGTGTGTGTTCGGGGGGCCCTCTTCAGCTTGGCTTGCCCATGAGGGCTCGGTGGGCTTCTGGAAGAGCCCCAGGAGGCGGGCTGGCAAGAACTGCCTGCTCCTGTCCGGAACTCTATTCTTAGGGTGCTTTCTCTTGTTTTTAACTTTGACACCTTCCGCAAGTCACCCCGCACGAAAACAACCCCGCCGTGGCTATAATTTACATGTCACGTCGCTGGTGCCGAGCACGGTCCACCCCCTCCAACCCGCCTGGGCATAGGTACCCCCCACCCCCACCGCCTGCCCTGACTTCTGCATCATTCCCACCCCGCCTGCACTCGGTCACCCGGAGGGAAAAAAGTGAAAGGTGAAATTAACAGAAGGCATGGGGAGGGGGTGGGGGTAGGGGCAGGGGTGGGGGTGGGAGGCAGGGGGAATTTCCACAACATCCAAGCTTGGAAACTTCCCAGATGCCGGGCTTTGGGCTTGCACTCGGCGGTCCACATTGCCATGGCAACCACCCAGCATGGCAGAAGAGCCCCAGCTTGCCCCAGCCTGTGGGCACCCAGCAGAAGTCGCTTACCGTGATGGTGTTTTCCTTGCTCTGCTTTTTGCTTGGTGATGAGGATCCCAGGTTCTGGGGAGAGAGGCAAAAGACATCATCGAAGCTGTTCTCCATACTGGACATTTCGGTCTTCTATTCAGGCTCCCCGAAAGCCCCCGTGCTGGGGTAGTTCGGGGACGCGAGTGCGCGCTCCCACTAACCCTTATGTCACCATATTCTGGAAGAGGGCAGGCGGGAGTGCCCCTGACCCCACGCTGCTCCCGGGGGGGGGGGGGGGGCCGGGCTTGCAGGCGAATGGGAGGAAGCCTCCAGCACAGGCTCTGAGGGAACTGCTCCAAACCAGGTCTCCCTCCTCTTCTCCCAGTCCCTGATTTGGGGAGTTAACCCCTCAGCTGCCCTCTGCTGGTAAACCGTTCCGCGTGCCGCCTGCATCCTCAACCTACAGAAGCTGCCTGGGGGAGCGGAGAGTTAAAGTAGGCCACCACCTCCAGGCACCGGGGACTCAGAACAGGACTTCTGATCTGAATCCCCCGGGGTCTGACGTATCTAACCTTCAATCCGTGCACCGTGCACAGGGGCGCCCGGCCACCTCCGGGACGTGCTGCTCTCCGACCCGGAGAAGCAGGAGGGATTTCTCAGCACAGCCGCCTCTCCGCTTTCATTCATTCAGCCTTTGGATTGCCTTTTTATGTCTTCCCGCTGCCAGCAAATAAACCACTGTCCCAAATACCTCCAAACCCACGGGTCCTAGGCAGCTTGCCCCAGTCCCAGGATGATTCTGGTACAGAACATTAAGGCTTAGGCTAGAAACACCACATTGGTCACAGGAGCCTGTGACCCTAAAGGGGAGGAAGGTCAATTCTGGGTCTTCGTTGCCCCATTATTAGCAGTTACATTAGTGATTCAAGAGGCTCTCCGAGCAGGGCATGTGATGGCCACTCCCATCCTGAGCCACTCAATGAGTGGGGAAGCAGGCTCACCCCAAGGCACAGTCGGGGGCCATTATAGGCCTGTCCTGGGACCCACAGCCTTCTTTCTCTGGTAGAACCTCAGGACGTGGTTGTCAGAGAGGCTTCTCCAGCCAGCCTCAGGGGACCAGATTTGGGGTTGGCACAGCCCCAGACCACTCGCAGGATGAGCATCTGGGTGTGGGGGTCAGCCCTGCCTCAGGACCCCCTCTGCTCACCACACAAAACAGGACCCCAAATCAGGTCCCAGCTGCACCTCCCAGAGCTGACCCAGCAGCTCTCTGGGCGGGGGGCGGGGGGGGAGGCGGGAGGGGGCAGCGCCTCTGAAGCAGAGTCTGGGGGCCTCCCTTGGGGGCACACTGATCTACGTTCTGTCATTCATCAAGGCTCCCCTACTTCCGGTAGCTGGTATAGCAACCCCAGCAGGCTCTGGGGCGACTTCAAGCTTGTGACCAACCACAGCTTTGACAGACATTTTCAAAGCATCAACGCATCCAGCTCGCCTACCCTGGACCCTCCCGAGCTCTCAGTGGTACGCCAGGGCATTTGCCCAAACTGGGCCACCTGGGAGGACGACGGAGTCCGCGTGGTAGGGGCTCAAGCTCCGCTATCCTGTGACAGGTGCAGGGCTCTCTTGCAGGCTCATCCATGCCAGGAAGGGGGATGAGGGAGGGGAGCCTCTGGTGTGGCCAGTGGAGGAAATTAGAGCCCCGGGCGGAATATCTCTTTTGTCTATATTCTTCCAGTTCTCCACTTTGAGGCTGGCTGTTTTCCAAGTGTCTCTGCAGGGGTGGAGAGAGATCTCCATCACCCACAAACCTGGATTTGGGGACCACTGTGTCCGAGGCTCTATGGAATGAAGCCGGACACAGAGGTTGTCAACCTCCCCGTAACTCGGGCCAGGACGGGAGTGCGAGTAATGGCATTGTAAGGGCACGTTTACCATGTGGGTGTTGGCACCTTCCCACTCTCTGCCCTCCTGGTGATGCAGTCTCAGCCAGGGCTGGGCAGGGGGTGACCCCAGGCTCCTCCAGGCACCTTGGGCTCTGTGCTTGCTGCCAATGGCCCGTGGCTATTGTTCCGACATCATCCACATAAATCTATGTCATATATATGCACTATACGTCCCTACATCACACACAGACACACACACAGACACAGACACACATCTCAGTAGCGCTTCATGAAAGGGCCCCAAAGGAATGACTCCTCCATCACAGGGAGACTACCTACTAGCTAGAAGTTGGTTTCTAAATATTATTCCGTACTAAGAGGAACCGGGCTCCTTGGAGAAATAGCTCATTCCAGATGTCGGGTCGATCTGGAACATCTTATTATTCTGGGAGGTTAGAGACCACGCAAAGAATGATGTGATCTCGCAAAAGGACCCAGGCGCCTGCAGAGAGGAGTTCCAACAAGCCAAATTTGGGACAATTTGAGCATGGTTATGGATAATGACTACAAATGAGTAACTTCAAAAGGCAGTGAGGGGGGGGAGTATTTCTTTATGGAAGAATGCCCATAAAAATGGATAAAGCATCACAAAATCACCATTTGCAAACCCCAACGTCAAAATGGATTCAGGCCACGGTCACCAAGGATGCTCAAAGCATTGAGTGAAAAGCCTGTGAAGGAACAGGAGATGCCGATGGTCTCACACTATCATCCCCCTGATTGCTGGCTAATTAAAAAGGGAAAACGTACCCTTGCAAAGGGATCATCGCATTAACCGGGAGCTCAAACTCCCGGTTAGCATCGCTGGTAGGGTGCTAACCTGGGAGGCCCCAGGTGGTAGATATTCTTGCCAGAGATGTTAGCCCCGAGTCCAAGCATAAGAAAACAATTAGACTAAGCATGTGGGTTATTCTAAACTGAGCTGGTCTCTTCCCAAATAGAGTCACCAGGGGTTAAGACAAAAGACCAAATGTATGGCGAATACAGTCTAGATTAAAAGAAGCTAAAATCCAGAAATGAGATGAAATCGTAAATCGTAAATGGAATACTATTTGGCCATAAAAAAGGAACATGGTGCTAATACACCTGCAACATTCACGGACCTTGAAACATGGTTGTAAGTGCAAGAAGCCAGACCCAAAAGACCACATGGGGTGCGATTCCACGTATATGAGCTGTCCAGAAGAGAGGCAAATCCATGGAGACAGAAAGTAGATTAGTGGGTGCCAAAGGCTTTTGGGGATTCTTTCTGGGGTGATGAAAACGCTCCAACACTGATTATGATGATGATTGTGTAACTCTGTGACCACCATGCTGTGCATTTTAAATGGCTGAATTGTAGGCTGTGGGAATTATATCTCAATAAAGCCCCCAAAACGGAAACTAAAGAGATCCAGCCAACAATGTATCCACGTGAGAAACTGGAATGGACCCTGGACTGGGGAGAAAAGCAGCTATAAAAGACATATTGAGGACAAACGGGGAGTTTGAGTATGAAGTATAGATACTAGATGAAAATACCCAATTAATGTTTTCTCATGTGGGCTAACGATATCCCATTCATGTCTTCCCCTAGGGGCAGAGGGAGAGGGAGAAGCAGGCTTTTGACCCTGTCTCCCAGCCCCGTGAATAGCCTGGGTCCCACCTCCTCGGCAGGCGGGATCCAGAATGAAACCTCTCCACGACTTCCCGGTACGGCTGGAATAAACCCAAGCTCCTCACAATAGGCCAGGGCAGACTCCTCCAGCCCCTGCCCCCCTTCCGCCCTCCCTGCACTGCTGATTCAGGAAATCACAGCCCCACTCAGCCTCTGTGAGTTCGTTGAAACCGCTGCTTTCCTTCGCCTCCGCTGGGCATCCACATGTGCTGTTCCCTCCACCTGGAAGGCTGTTCCCCACCACCACCACCCTGGGCCAAGCTAACCCCTCAGCCACCTGTCCAGTCTTAGCTTACTCTCGCTTCTTCTGGAGCCCGTCACTGACATTTCCAGCACCCCCTGTGGCCACCCGAGCAAGTACCCAGAGCACAGACTTCCTCCAGCACTTACCACGGCCGACACGAAATGATCATTTATCTCCTGTCTCCTCCGGCACCAGTTACAAGCCTCCACCAAGGCAGGGGCTCTGACTGCCTGTGACTCAGAGCCTGGCCACGAAGGAGACGCTCAAAGGAACACGTGTCGCTGGACTGAGGAGGGTCCCCGTTAGGTGGGTGAGTCTCAGCATCTTACCTCCACCTCAAGCTCCCTTCTCCAACGGGACCCTGAATTTTCCAAGCCCTCGGTCCCACCCCCTCTCTCCTCTCCCACGTAGGAAGCCAGAACAATGGAAAGGTTGGTCACAAAAGGGCCCGGGTAGGGTAGGTCACTTACCCAGCCCCGTACCCACTCCACATGCACAGGGATGAGAGGGATCCCACCACCGGCGGGCAGGCAGGGGACAGGCCAGGACATGCTTCTGCAAAGGAGGCCAGCAAAACTCAGCCTCTGATGTCCCAGCCTCCCAGGCTGGTGGGCCCCCTTTATCCAGGATTGGGGCAGCCCGCCCCAGGGTTGCAAGCCAGAAACCTCCACTGGGTGGCACCAGATCACCACCACCTGTGCCCAGCCATCTGGTCTCCCAGGACTAGGGTAGGAGCAGGTAGGCACCCCCTGGGCTGCAGGGCACCCAGCCGGCAGTCCTGCCCATGACAGGGCACAGTAGGGACACGTTCCTCCCCCCCACCAACATTCTAATTTCCCTGATGAGTTTGCTTAAGGGGGAACAGCTCACAGAAAAAAGAACACACAGGGCTTTGAGCAAACCCTGGGCAAGCCGCTTAACCCACCTCCAACCCTGTATCTCAAATGGCCCTGTGTTCATTTGCTCATTGATTCATTCTTCAGGTACTACTACGCCATAACTGTTATCCATTATAACTGGCAGCCTGGGACCGTGTGAGTAAACACTACACTCGCCAAAGAGCACTGTATATACTTTTGGGGATCATTTGTTGGCGGCACTCTCTGGAACACTAAAACTTCTCATCCTGGGGGGGCCTGGGTGGCTCAGTCGTTAAGCGTCTGCCTTCGTCTCAGGTCATGATCCCAGGGTCCCGGGATCAAGCCCCGCATCGGGCTCCCTGCTCCGCGGGAAGCCTGCTTCTCCCTCTCCCTCTGCCCCCCCCCCCCCGCCTTGTGCTCCCTCTCCCTCTGTCAAATGAAAAAAAAAAATCTTTCTAAAAAAAACAAAAAACCTCTCATCCTATTTCTGCGATTGGCCCGCACGCTGCGTTATTTTTGTTACTTTGATGATATCTCAACTCTCCACGTTATCATCCGGAAAGAATCCACTCCACCTGCTCCTTAAAGCAGTTGCTCCCTGCCCTCTCCTGGGTCTCCACAGCTGGCCTACCCCGCATCCCCAAGTACCAGCACCCTGCTTCTCCTAATGTGCACGGTACCTGCCTTCTACTCAAGTCAAATGTGTTCCTTCTAAGAAACGTGCAAGATCCTGCAAAGTATAAAGAAAACAGAAAGTACTTTAGACCGAGGTTTCTCAACCTCAATACCACTGTATTTTCGAACTGGATAATTCTTTGCTGCGGGGGCGGTCCTGTGCTGTATGGGATGACTGGTCATATTCCAGGACCCTCCTCACTAGCTGCCAGCCAGGAGTACCCCCTCCCCAGCCGTGACAACCGAAATGTCTCCAAACAAATGTCCCCGATGGAGAATCAGTCTTGGACGCAGATTGGACCAAGATCACCGTCCTGATTTCTTTTTCTTCTACTCCTTCGTCTTCATGAACATGTGGATTTCCTCCTCGCAAGTAAGACTGGCTGTGTATGGAGTGTGCGTGCTGCTTTTCCCACTCAATATTGGGTTCTCAGTCTTTTCCTAAATTCATGACATTTTCTTCAGAAATGGGCTTTCTCATGCCTGCATCAAAGAACAGGCTGGCTATGCAGGGCCAAAATCCACTGTACCCATCTCCCCTGTTGCTGGACAGTTCGGTTGGGTCCACTGCTGCAGAGCCGTAAATAATGCTCGAGGAAAACGCTTCCCACACAAATCAGAATCCCTGAATGTATTCCAAGAACAGATGCTGAAGGGCGATGTTCCTGGGTCCAAGCAGAGAAGGTTATAGCAATAAACGTTAAAAAAAAAACAAAAAAGTTCGGGAACAACTTCACAGTTATTTTGGGGCTGGGGGGTAGCGCCAGCTTGGTCAGGTTATGTGATAACATAGCAGAATTTAGGCTGGTGTCTTCAGAAAACAGTCCACAGTCAGGTGGTAAATCAGCTTCATGCCAAATAGATTGATAGAGGCTGTGTTGCAAAGGCCTGCGGCGGAGGGCTTGGCAGAAAACACACAATACCAGGGCTGTGTGTGATGTGTGATGTGTGCCATGAGCAGGGGCGTGAAGGGGGCGCGCACGCGCACACACACACACACGCACACACACACACGTGCGCTGTGCACTATCGACCAGGCCCAGATCCTCCTCGCTCAAGGCACGGTCTTCTGACCAGCATCACTGGCATCCCCAGCGTCATCGGCATCCCCAGCATCATCAGCATCACCAGCATCATTAAGCATCATCCGGGAACTGCTTGGAAACAGAACCTCAGGATCTTTCCTAGACCTCCCGAATCAGAATCTACATTTTAACAAGAGGCCTGGGTGATGATTGAGTCCATCAGAATGTAAGAAGTTTCCGCCCACACGGACGTCCAGATTCTTTTCCAGAGCACTAGCTGAACCGAACCTGAGCCCAATGCTCAGCCTCCTAAGACCACTTCATGAAGCTTCCAGAAAGGAATGCTCTTGCCTGCATTAAAGCTGAGTGTTCCATTTTAGCCGACTGCAGCAACAGATCATGAGGCCTTTCTTTCTGGTGCACAGGACCCACTGTTGGGGGTAACAAGCAGCTACTCTCATCCTGAGCACCGGCAACTATTACGATCACCATCATCATCCCTGGGGCCTGGAAAGGGCTGACAGAGTCTGCAGCCCTCATTGAGAGCATCTCCTGGATATAACTGATGGACAGAATAAGTAAGCCAATCCTCACGTCCTTAGACACAGCTTTACACAACTCAAAACACCAAGGGGCGCAGCACTGAGGTCCAGACTGACCACTCAGGATTTGTGTCACTTGTCACTTGCAGGATTCGTGTCGCTTAAGCAGCCTGAGACTCGGTGGCCTCGCCTTTAAGACAGGATGGAGGGCGCCTGGGTGGCTCAATTGGTTGAGCGACTGCCTTCGGCTCAGGCCATGATCCTGGGGTCCCGGGATCGAGTCCCGCATCGGGCTCCCTGCTCGGCAGGGAGTCTGCTTCTCCCTCCGACCCTCCCCCATCTCATGTGCTCTCTCTTTCTCTCTCTCTCTCATTCTCGCTCTCTCAAATAAATAAATAAAATCTTTTAAAAAAAAAAGAGAAAACAGGATGGAAATGAATCTTAAACCATTCTCCCGTTTCCTCCCATCCCATCAAGGTCTTGCTGCTATTAAAGGTGAGAAAACATTTTATAGAATTCCGGTCTGAGTGAAGTCTGGGGCGGGCAAAGGGGGTGTGTAGAAGAAGGAAAGTGGCCCGGCCCCATCCATATTTAAAGTGACAGAAACCGAGACGGTATTTATGAGGAATCCAGACGGCAGGATGGACCCCTCTGCCCCAGCGATGGTTACAATCCCCCACCATCACCCCACTCCAACCACCCTCAACTTCTAGAGAAAACCAACAAACCACAATCGCCCCCTCTCCCCCAGTCACGGTACACAGGAACGACCCAGATATACCAGCCACTTTCTACTTGGGGCACACCCGGGCTGTGGTCACCTGGAGCCCCATGCGGTGCTGTCTTCACGACACCTCCCTGGTGACCCCTACCTCCCATAACACGACCCCTTACCTGGGAATCACCGGTGGATTTTCGGACACTCATGTGGGCAGTCTCGGGAGGGTGCGCTGGGGTCCCTGCCACGTGGTATCCATTCACTGCGGGAAAGAAACACTGCTCAGATGCCATGCCGGCCACACACGGGCAACACCAACTGCCTGCAACCGCGGTCCCTTCCCCCACGTCACTGTCTGCCAGCCTCTGAGATGTCTCGCTCGGCCAGGACCATCTCTTGGGATCTGACCAGGGTTCGCGGAGCTGGAGATGGTCCGCAAGCATCTCTCTAATCCCCAGCTCCCAACTGTGCAGCTCTGGGGGGACCGCGTTTCTTTCTGAACCAGAGACAGACACGCTTCCGTGACAGGAGGTGGGGTCACTGCAGTCCACAGCCATCACTTGAAAATGCCACATCAGTTGTGGCCACTGGTGCTGACGCCACGGAGGCAGGCGGCCCCTCCACCACCTGGTGGCATCTCCCCAGAGGAACGCCCCCACCCTCGCCCTCACAGCACTGTAATACCAGTATAGAATGGAAAGAGCACAGGGTTTACTGGTTTCTGTGAAATTTGGCTTTGCTGATTAATAGCCGGGGGGGATCACAGGCCATCCCTTTTGAGTCTCAGTTTTCCTAAAGTTAAAAAAAAAAAAAGGAAAAATATTCAAGGCTGCAAAATTCTACCCCCATGACACTCACTCATGCTCCCAAGGTGAGCTGATCAACCTGCTCTCTTATGGAGGCGGGGGGGGGGGGCAGGGCTGGCTTGTAGCATTTCCCGGGTTCCACTGGGAAACTGCCAATTCAAAGCTCCGAACACCCCCACAGGCTCCTGATGCCACAAGTATACATGCGACCCGTGCAATCTCGGGTCCCAGAGGGGACACTGCTCTCTGCCCCCTCGCAGACATGGTTACGTGAGCTTAGGGAGCAGTTCCTCCTCTGTGAGCCTCAGCTTCTGGATCTGTGAAATGGGGATAATCCTCCCCAGTCTCCAAACCTACTCAGTTGGCATGAAAATCCAATGGGGGCAGTATACTTGCGAAAGGGGGCTTTAGTCATTAAGTGATTCATGAAAAGGGGCGAGGGACAGATGGAGGGAGGGAAGACCACTTCTTCTGCTCCTGCATCCAATCGCCTTGAGCCCCAAGCCTGCGTGAGCTCTAGTAGACACCAGGGAAGCATGCTTTCCGCATGCCCCAGGCTTGGAGGAATTGCTGGAACATACAGACTGCACAGGTCGAACCCAGGACCCCGAGATCATGACCCAAACTGAGGTCCAACGCATGGCTCTTGTTGGGAGCATGCTGCAGTGTGGCAGGAAACAAGGGGAGAGGTTGGCTGAAAGTCACTAACATCTACTGATCTGCTGCAGGCAAGCAATGGGGTGATGAAGCAATGGGGGTGATGAAGGCCACCCCATGTGGGAACCGTTTTCATGCTGGGGGATGTCCCCCATTCTCTGCCATTTGCAGTGAAAAATGCAGTGCCCCCTGCGAGCAGAAACACAGACGCCCCCCCTCAGCAGACCCCTCTGGGCAGATGGGCTTCTCCCTGATCTGCAGGGCTGGCCTGATACCTTGGAAGTGGGTGGGCACAGACACAGGAAGGCGACAGAAAACTGGGCATGTGGCTGGCCCCCAGTGCAGCGGCTTGGGGAAGCAACAACCACCAAGAAATCAACCCGCATGGCCAGTTACAGCCCTGGTCTGCACTCAGGCCCCTCGGCAGCCGGTTACATGCTGATACTATACCCATGAGCACGCTGGTGTAAGGGGAGCTGGGGGTGTGATTCGAAGAGCCTCGTGGAATGTTGAGGGGATCGAGGAGAAGCTACTCAGGTCAGCATCAGCTATGCCAGGAAGGGCACTAGGCTGATGATAAATACAACCCACAATGAAGGCATAGCATTCGAGAACTGTCATTTATCAAACAGCATAGCACTGAAATGGATAAAAGACATATGCCGGAGAATCTAAAGACGACAGGAGAAAACCTTAGTTACACCGCTTTCAGTCGATGACTGAGTAGACAAAAGTGAGGATGTAGAATATCTCAGTCATTTCATTTAGAAGCCTGAATGAACTAGATACTAAACGTCATGGGCTACGAACAAAGATAACATCTTTTTTTTTAAAGATTTTATTTATTTATTTGAGAGAGAGAGAGAGAGAGAGAGAGAGAGATGAGTGCGGGGAGGGGCAGAGGGAGAAGCAGACTCCCCGCTGAGCAGGGAGCCCGATGCAGGGCTCGATCCCAGGACCCCGGGACCATGACCCGAGCTGAAGGCAGATGCTTAACTGACTGAGCCACCCAGATGCCCAAGATAACATCTTTTGCCAACAAGCCACGGAACATTTTAAAAGGCCTGGGCATACTGAAGCCACAAATAAGGTGTTGCTAAATTGCAAAAGGCATTAAGAACACAGGCCACATTCTTTGACCAGAACGCAATAAAAGCAGATATTAGTAATGAAAGAACAAATACACAAGATCCCCATCCCTCCAACAACCAAACACTTGGAAATTTCAGAAAATGCCCTCCTAATGTCAGGTCAAAGAAGAGTTTAAAAGCCAGAATTACACAATATTTAGAAAATAATCAGGAAGAACATATCAAAACAGATGGGATAAGGCTTGAATTATATTTGGAGGAAAACCCATAGCCTTCATTAGTCCATTACCAAAACCAAGGAAATACAAATAAATGGACTAAACATTCAAATTAAGAATTCAGAAAAACCTTTAAAAGCCAACAGAGTAAACCAAAGGAAAACATGAGAAGGGGATATAAATATGGCACTAGAAACGAACCAGTTAGGAAACAGGATGACATTCACAACTCAGGCGAGTTCTCTTTGTGTGGGGGTGGCTTTCGGCGGGGGGAGATCACAACAATAAAAAAGCAGGTCAGCCCATCTAATCTGAGACTGAGAGAGTACATGAATGCTCAGAATGTAGAGTTAGAAAGAAAACATAAGCAGATCTCATAAGAGATTTTTTTTAAATGCAAGCACGTAGGATTTATAACTACATGCTAATAAAAACATAACCTTCCATAAGAATCAAATGATCAACAACGGTTTCAAAGGACACTAGAAACACCAAAATGAATAAAACCTTTGAAAAATGACCTCCCTCCAAAAGGCACTGGACCCAGACGGTTTTACGGGCAACTTGGCTTAAACGCTCAATGAAGAAACACCTAGACACAAACTATACCAAAATATACCAAGTGGAAACGTGGTAAATTTCCCAGTTGATTATACAAAAATCAGCATTACCCTGATCCTGAAAATCTACCAAAGACCACAGAAGAACCGAACCACCGTTCCGTGTGACTACAAACACGAAATATGTCAACTCTTACCCGAGCAGGTCTTAGCTAGGAAGGAGTCACTACCTTTGATGATATTGGGTCCCTGTACACCAGGGCCGTGCCCAGCCCCTTCCGACCCCCACCTCCTCCCCTCATAGCACCTAAAAGTGCACCCTCAGTACACCGCTGTCTGTCTTTGCTTCCAGCACCCCCCAGGCGCCCCGCCCGCCACATGAACGGCGGCCAGGAACTGGCAAATGCAGGGGCATTCTGCCCCTAATCCATTCTCTTGTTCTCACTTCAGTTCTGAGCTGTCAGCTGCTGGCTAATTACTTTCCATGTCAAAACAATTACTGGGAAAGAAAAAATAATTTCCCATCCAACCATTTCTCCCCACCCAGCAGCTCTCCCCTGCCTGGTCTTGCTGTGTTTCACTCTACCAGTCCCAGGCACACTCAGAAAAGCGATCGGTGGAGATCTGAAAAGTGATGGCTCACCCACGAGCGTCCCTGATTATTTCCAGTCCTCTCAGCTTACCAGGGGTTAGATGCAAAACAAGTAAGGCCAGAAGTGGGTGCTTTTGAAGCCTCCAGCCTCCAGCGGGTGGGAGTGGGATTAAAATAAAATTGGTCAAGGACTGCTCATAACCATAAGGAACATAATTCAGTCTGGGGATATTAAAAAAAATAAAAAGTCAAATGCCAAATTCAGCTGTTTTTAAAATAAGAAAAAGGGAACAGAAAGCCCTTATGTAGTAACTTTCATAATTTCAAACACAAATATAAACACACACGCACACATTTCATTCCTCTTTGTGGGCAGTTAAACAGAAGGAGGGCTTGAGAGATGTGTCATGAGAGGAGGGGACAGGTATGGGTAGAGAGGGAAAGGAGGTCTTCAGGGGGCAGAGGGAGAGGATGTGGAAAAAGCAGAAAAGGAGCATAGCAGGAGTTGTCGAGAGAGGCCAAGCAAGAGAGAAGAGCCAGCAACATCTGCTGCCCAGAATTCACACTCCCCTCTAGCTCCAGGCCCCCAATACAGAAAGCTCCATCCTCCATGTCCCACACTCCACGTTTCTGTTCCCTAAAGGACCCCCAAGGGTAGACTTACTCTTTCAAACAAGAAAATCAGCCCTGGAGACAGCCCCCTTTGGGTCTGGCCCACTCTCCCTTCTTTCTGGAATTAACACGTAATTTCCTTCCCCAAGCTGAAGAAACCCGGGAGCCCCCAACAAGGCCTTGTTCCTGAATGCACCCTCTTCCCCCGCCCACCCATTCACACATTCAACACGGCAGAATGCAGAGTTTCCCCGGGCATGCGACACATGACACCAATTTGGCAGGATGTTCATTCTAAGTGCAAAGCAGTGAAGGTAAAGGGTAGAGTCTTATGATCCAAAGACTTTGGGACAGGTGCCCCCATTATTCAGATATAAATTGCTTTATTACAGGAGGTCTTTTTAAATACAGGCACACCTCAGAGATATTGCAGGTTGGGTTCCAGACCACCACAATAAAGCGAACGTCATAATAAGGACAGTCAAATGAATGTTTTGATTTCTCAGTGCACATAAAAGTTATGTTTAAGCCACACTCTATTAAAGTGTGCAATAACGTTATATCTAAAAAAATGTACATACTTAATTTAAAAATCCTTTATAGCTTAAAAGAAGCCATTAGCCATCATCTGAGCTTTCAGGGAGTCCTCATCTTTTGGCTGGTGGAGGGTCTTGCCTCAGTGTCGATGGCTGCCGGATGCTCAGGGTGGTGGCCGCTAAAGGCTGG